AAATTTCATTTTAATATCTGCTTAAACTTGTATTAAAAAATTATTTAAACCTTGCAAATTACTAACATCATATGTTTTTTGTTTATCTATACTGTAATTATCATATACACATTTAAATATTACAGATAATAATGGGAATATCATGATGAAAACAATAATCATAGCATGCCAATTTTAACAGAAATGTTTGAACTGGTCATTTTTGACCAGCTTTTGAATAAATTGAATTAGCATGATAATAAACAGTATTTAAATTCCTCATTATCCACTATATTCTGATAATACAAAGATAGCCATACTTGTTTTTCATAGCTATGCTTATCATATTTATATAATGATTCTGGGTCCTTTTTTAAGGAAAATATTTGAAGAATTTTCGTCAGCCCAGGATCTCCGGGGAACAGAAAATTTCGAGGACCATAATAAAAGTGACACCCTGTCCATGGAGTGCTGGGTAGAGGATGATATTGGAATTCATAATGAAAATTTACATTGATTGGTATTTTAAAAAGTGTATGAATTTCACAGGAAAGAGTATAAGTGGTCACATTTATCTTTCTCTTCTTAAGATTAAGAAGTATAGATGAAATATAAATGTTATAATACATGTACAAACATTTAAAATGCTACAGAAACGTTGATAGTACTCGTACTCGGAGAAATATGATGTCATCATACAAATCATTGATCATTTTCATCAACTAAAGATACAACTGAGAAAGAAGCCAGTTACCCATGTGCTACCACAGGTACTTGTGGACAGGAAACCCCCCCCCCCCAACAATATACCCCACGGGTCAAAAATATTTTTATGTATTTTTTTCATAAATTATTCTTCTAGTACATATTTACAATGTATTCCATAAGAAAAATCCAAAAAATAACACAGAATTAACGTTTTAATAAAAAATCATACCTGCAGTATTATAAAATACCGCGGGTATGATTTTTTATTACCTGTGTGTGCTACATATGAAATATCTGCAATGACACATTTCAAACGTTACTGAATTACTTTTTCAGGTGATAGTTGGTGTTATAAGTTAGAATCTCAAGTAACTGCCAGCTATTTTATCGGTAATTACTCAGACATTTTAAAAGATTCACTCAAGTCAACAAATTGAGATATGTTATTTGTTCTTTTCTCTGACAAAATTGTAACACACTATTCGTACTCGAATACTCACTGAAATAGTTTCTGTGACCCTGAGGAAAGAAAGCATCTGATATTGCACATGTATTTATTATGCAATCAAATGAAAGCTGACATAAACATATAAATGAGGATGTGTAAATAAATGGAAGCTTTAATACAAAGTACATGTACCTTTGTTACATGATTGTACATACATTTTTCCCCCAAGTCAACAGTGATAAAATTCACCGTGATTGATGGTCTTCCAGATACACAAACAACTGTATAGTGCACTTTGTCAGCTGTGCATTTTTTACTGTCATTGTAAAATTATGATATGAATTGAGATATTTGATTTTTTATATTTATTGAATAAAAATGGTTTTCTAAATTTGATTTGAGTTATTATTTACAAGAAGTTTAACATGTATATCTGAAAAATTTGTAGACTGGACCTGTATTTTCACCCTACACATTGATAAAATATTAGCAAAAATCTTGCGTTATTTATCAAATTTATCAGGGGTATAAAATTTTTCTTTAAAAAAGAATGGAACAAGATGTGTTTGTGAAACACTGATGCCCCCGTATGGCAGCTTATGGGGAAGGTTAAAGTTTCTCAAATGCAATTCAAAATCCAGGCCAAAAGATAAAAAATATTAAATTTGAAAGCCCTAGCTGCAACTGTTCAAAAGTTATGGCAAAGGTTAAAGTTTTTTAAAAGTAAGTAAAACATCAAGGTCAAGGTCAAAGTTGTTGGTATCCAAAGGAAGGTCTTGTCACAAGGATTACATATGTAAAGTATGAAAGCCCTAGCACCAACCATTCAAAAGTTATGGCCAAGGTTAAAGTTTTTCGAAAGTAGGTCAAACTCCTATGTCAAGGTCAAAGGGTCAAAGTGGTTGGTATCCAAAGGAAGGTCTTGTTACGAGGATTACATATGTAAAGTATGAAAGCCCTAGCACCAACCATTCAAAAGTTATGGCCAAGGTTAAAGTTTTTCAAAAGTAGGTCAAACTCCTATGTCAAGGTCAAATGGTCAAAGTGGTTGGTATCCAAAGGAAGGTGATGTCACAAGGATTACATATGTGAAGTATGAAAGCCCTAGCACCAACCATTCAAAAATTATGGCCAAGGTTAAAGTTTTTCAAAAGTAGGTCAAACTCCTATGTCAAGGTCAAATGGTCAAAGTGGTTGGTATCCAAAGGAAGGTGATGTCACAAGGATTACATATGTGAAGTATGAAAGCCCTAGCACCAACCATTCAAAAATTATGGCCAAGGTTAAAGTTTTTCAAAAGTAGGTCAAACTCCTATGTCAAGGTCAAAAGGTCAAAGTGGTTGGTATTCAAAGGAGGGTGATGTCACAAGGATTACATATGTGAAGTATGAAAGCTCTAGCATCAACCGTTCAAAAGTTATGGCCAAGGTTAAAGTTTTTCAAAAGTAGGTCAAACTCCTAGGTCAAGGTCAAAAGGTCAAAGTGGTTGGTATCCAAAGGAAGGTCTTGTCACAAGGATTACATATGTGAAGTATGAAAGCCCTAGCTCTAACCGTTCAAAAATTATGGCCAAGGTTAAAGTTTTTCAAAAGTAGGTCAAACTCCAAGGTCAAAAGCTCAAAGTTGTTGGTATCCAAAGGAAGGCCTTGTCACAAAGAATACACATGTGAAGTTTGAAACCCCAAGCACCAACTGTTCAGAAGTTATGGCCAAGGTTAAAGTCTCATAAAATTTTGCAAAAGTGGGTCAAACTCCAAGGTCAAAAGGTCAAATATGATGGTACCCAAAGAAAGGTCTTGTCACAAGGAATACACATGTGAAATATGAAAGTCATAGCTCCAACCAATCAAAAGTTATGGGCAAGGTTAAAGTTGACAACAGACAAACGGGACAAAAACAATATACCCCCGGGATCTTTCGATCCGGGGGCATAAAAATACACAACTATGATGTAGTTGAGAGATAAAATATCAATGGATTTCTAAAATTTACATTTGACAAAAAATACATACTGTAAACCAGCCATTATTCGCATCATCTTTTATTTGCGGTTCGGCAGTTTAAAATCAATCCGCAACAATTCATTTTTGCAATCTAGGAAACATTTTCTACAAATATACAGAAAAATATATGGTTTGCGGCGATAAATATTCCTGAGTTAAAGAAGGTCATGAAACTCTCGGATATTTATCGCACACGAAAAATAGTTGGTTTACAGTAGTTTGTACAGACTGTTCTGTTCAACTACAAATGGTGAAAAGCTTAGGCAAAGAAAAAGGATTTTCTGACCATAATGATTGAAGCATTCACACTTTTGGAAACTCTATTACTAGAAGATGAAGAAACAGAAATTGAAGACAACTGAAGCTATGTTACTATTCATAAAAATGATTTAAGGAGGTTCAATCCCAAGCTTTTGAGCAGATTTTGTCTGAACCATTCTGCCTCATATTTAAGTTCTTAAAATGAATTTGGATTCTACAATGCCAATTAAACTATATTCAATTAAACACCCACGATTAAATTCTATACAAGAAGTGAAGGGAGGAACTATTATTTTATGGTGGAAGGTATTTTAGAAGAAAATAATCAATTTTTCTCTTTCAAAATATTTACAGTAAAGTTCATCTTCACTAGCCAAGGGTTTCTAATCCACAACTCTCCTTTGTGAGAAGAGTAGCAGATCAGAAACCCTTGGCTAGGGAAGATGTGTTAAGTTCGGATTTTTAATTTTCCATGCAGGATATTTAATGCAGTGAAACGTTTTATGCTGGTCCCATTATATATTAACCATTATGAATTCTATCATCATATTGTGACAAATATAGCTAACATACTGTGAAAGTCCAGGGGGAAAAAAACAATTTTAGCCTAAAATTTCTTTTCTGAGTATATAACTTTGACCAGTCTGCTTATTGTGTTCTATTCAAGATAGAATAAGACTGTATTTGGTCCAATGATTATTTGGGAAAAAAAAATATTGGATGGAAAAGTGATTTATGTGTAAGATGGAATTACAGTGCAAAAAAGGTCATAATAAATTAACTGTAGCATCAAACGAAGTGTATTCACCCCCATATTTGTTTTGATTTTTAATTAAGCTACGTGTATAGATACTAAAAATATATTTGACAAAAATTTTTTAAGACTTTTGATAGCAGGATCGAACCTCCTTATAAAGTTTGCAAATTACTGCAACACATAAAAATCTTTGTGTCTGGTTTTCATTTTCCATTGTTTTCTTCCAATCCATTACAAAGTTATGGCCCAAACAAAGAGTAGGACAGACAGATAGATGAAATAAAAAGGTAATGCCCAAATATCCTTTGTACTTTGCAGAGGGTATAAAAATTTGACATTGCAGAATTCTGATTTCCCTTGATTTGGTGTAAAAAAAATTTCTAAAGTTTATTTATCCAGAATGTGAATAATTATGATTATCATAAGAAGTGCAAATGCATGTAATGTTTCACAATAAGTTTGATGAATAATCAGCTTAAAACATGAAAACTTTTGTTTAAAAAAAATAATCATGAACAAAGAAAAAAATGCAACTTTTTGATAGATTTTCAACACAAATAAAAAAAGAGTGACATCCATAATATATTGGGCTAACTTGTAGAAAAGGTTCTGAACTACATGTGAGATTTCTGCAGGAATTGTCAACTATAAGAATAACCTGACTACAGTCAATATGACCCTAGAAGATGTAAGCAAACAAATATATGCTATAAGTGAAAATGTCTCCAACAAATATATTTGGAATCTGTTTGAACAATCCAAACTTCTTGAGTAGATACTGGAAAGCCATTGAACTGGTGAGTACAACATGACAGTGCAAATACACAATTACAATATATTGCAACTTCTTTCTAAATACATCAAACAACAAGTATAGCAAAATGAAAAGATGTACAGATTGATTAGAATTGATATACACATTACCAATATTTTTTGGGTCCACAATACTATAAATGCTTGAAATAAATGCCAGTAATATCAACAATATACCCTCAGCAATTGCTTTAAAGGGTACAGCTGTTGTTACTTATAATAATTATTTAAGCTATAAAAACTTCTTGAGTCATACTTTATCATCTCTGTTTGAACATGCCAAACTTCTTGAGTTGATAGCGGAAAGTCTTTGAATTGGCGAGTCCAACAATGATTAAGATGAGTGCATACACAATCATCATTAGCAAAAACTTGTGTCTAAAGCACCAGGACCTGATAGCAGATGTTGATCCCCTAAAAGAAAACATGCATCATTCTATTCCTTAGAAAGTCCTGAAATTTTTCTTACTGTTTCAAGTGAAAGTTGATTCCAAAATTACAGCACAGGAGTTGATTCCTTCACAATGAACATGGATCAACAGTTTTAACTGATGTAGAATTTAACGGTACTCAAGTAAAATAAAACTTTACCTTTGAGAGACAGACTTTTGGCAGTAAACCAGGAGGTATTTCACTCGGATCACTTCATTGTTTTGTACCACATAGTATTTGTCTGGAACTTGTCCTGCCATGCTATCGCCAGCACGAGATCTGTTGTTATCTACAAAAAATACATTTTCTTTTGAACCATGAGACATGCCTCATCGCAGTAAATTTTCCTTTCCAGACTGCAAAGTGACATATGTTTTAGGCTTTATTTTTTCTTCATCTGTAAACATGAGTTTCAGAACTTATGAGAATGCAATTTTTAGCACAAGTCTCTTATACAGAAAAGGCCAAGAATTTAACTATCCATGGAAAACTATTTCACAACCTCAATCATTTCTCTTAAGCTGTGTTACCATGCTTAAAAAGGCAGCATCACCACATTTGTTGTTACATGTGGTTTTAGTAGTCCTTGACCTTTCAGTACTTACTGTCCTTGACCTGACATTTTACAGATGGATGATCAATCATTTCACAGACGGCCACACAGCTGAGTTTGTCACCTAGGCTGCTTCTCTCCCAGCTTCTCCCCATGGGGCTGTAATGCAGGGACACAGAGAGTTCACTGGAGAGGTAGGTCCCCTCCCCAAACACACCAACCTAAGAGAAGCATTCAGATGTTTATTTAAATGAAAGAACATACATAAACTCAAATTCTATGCACTGGCAAAATTTTGCATATAAATTGTACTTACGAAAATTTCTTTTAAATTGTAAAAATTTAAGTAGTAAGTAAAGTTTATCTATATTTGATTCAATTTGGTATCCCATTCTCCAGCCACAGTCTGGAGACTGATCATAGCTCTCTCCTACCCATGGCTGCTTGATCAAATAAAGTCTCATAATCTTGAATAATCATGTCTTATGTGTGATGTCATGTTATAAACCAATGAAAAGAATTGGCTAATGAAAGGTCAAATCAAAGATTATTTTCCAACTATGCTTTACTCACATTGGTTAAAATTTTAATGAGCTACAAAACATTCTTGTCTCTTCAACAACAGCCAGAATGGGAGAGGATTGTACATTTTGGCCTTGGTTTGTGATGATGATTTGGTACAGGCCCATAGGAAGCAATTTCACTTTGAGGGGGCACAACCATACATTTTCAATTGGGGGGCACTATCAACTACCAAAATTCCTTGACAAGCAAAAAAGCATAAAAAAAAAAGGTCATCAGACGTTATTATTATTATTGAGGGGGCACAAGCATACAGTAGCTTTGTTTTCTATAGTATTCTATATATCGGCAAAATTATCGGGGGGGGGGGGGGGGGGGGGGGGGGGCATGTGGTACATACATAAATATTCTGAATTTCTCTAACTATCCCACTTCTAGCTTAATTTTTCTGCTTTATACAACTAAAATACACTGTTATGCCACATTAATCAATTCTACACTTTTTAAAATTTTTATGCTTAAAAGTTGCATTATTTTTAGTTCAGTAAATTATTACCTATTGCACTTTAAGAGAACTATAAGATCCTGATATATTAATCATACTTTACTGATCTTTTCATTTTAATGTTAAGTTGTTATGATGGCTACTAAACACCTGACATGCCAAAGAAGCAGATGAAAAGGAGTACATAATAGTCTAAATGATTTTAAATGATACTGTACAAGAATTTGAAGAATTACGCTTTTGCCTCTGAAATTCCACCAAAACAAGGCTTTAATTTCACCTCTGCAATAAAAAGGGTAGGCAGTCTGCTATCCATATTGCAGTAATACTGAAGACGAATTTGTTCACTTCATTGATTACAATGTTTAGGAAACTGAAATAACATGCAGCCTTTTCATTGCAATCCATAGGTCCTAATTCAGTCCACTACAAATGGGAGCAGTTTAAAGCACATGTGTAGCGTGCAATGATGGATGAAGCATTACCTTATTCATATGAGAGGCTAATCCATGGTGCAATATAGAGTGGAAGTTCTCCAGTCGACTACCATGATATGCAAATAAGAGTTCTCTCCCTTTCCTGACATCCTGAAATTTAGCATCAGCAGCTTGTGAGTAGGTCACCTCAAAGATAAAGTTTGGTTTCACAGCTGACACACCGCTGTCTTTGGTGAGTGCTTGGATTTCTTCAAACTGTTGAAAAAATACACCAATGACAAGTGATTATCAATGATCATAGTTATCTTTTAAATGAGCAAATTTAGCTATTCATTTAGGGTTTAGATAACATAAATGTATGCATCATGTCTTCATCACATATCTTCAATTGTTATTTACACTGAAGCTAGATACCAGGAAATATACTTGATGCATCATCTGAACTTGAATACACAATGATTGCTTTTGTAAATGTTTCAAAAAAAAAGTAACAGGAGGGATATAACTTTTTATATTCATTAATTTATTTTATAACTCTCAAATTCTGGCATAAAATTACTTTTTTAATACATGTAGCTACCTTTGACAATGCTGTTTTCACTATAGAGAAGTTTTTGGTATCTGTCACCCATGTCAGTAAGTCTTGTATCTCACCATTACTGGATTCCAGCTGACTTAATTTTGGTACCTTATCAACCACTCTCTCCTGTAATGACATGAAAGATTCTTTTTCACTGTGAAGTTGGGTTTAGGTCTGATACTGTAAGTGCTGATTTAACTGGGTAGAATACTATTTAAGTCTAACTCAATTCAACGATGAAGAAATAAATTATGACACTAACTAAGGCTTAACAATTTATGGTACTTATGTATATTTTACGACATACAAACCATAAAATATGTCAATTTTGGCAAAAGTCTTATTTTACAACATTTCTGTACGCCATTAACCGTATGATACAACAATTCATTCTTACACATGTATGACTACAGTTCCAATATGCCATATATCCCCAGCACCCAAACTCTGCCACCATAAGTGGAAAATATACCACATTATTCTCTTAATTATTTTTTTGATTTGTTTTTGTTTGCTACACTTAGTAATGAACTTAAACATTGTTTTTAATATAATAAACAAAGAAGTGCAGCTATTAGTCTTGTAAAACACCATTTTAGTTTTTTGTTCCTTTTTCTTAAACTTGCATGTAAACATAAAAAAAAAAATTAAGATTTAAAATAGTTTTAAATTGTACTTTAAGAAAAGTATCACCAATAGGAGTAATGTTAGTATAACATATCTTATATGTATTAAATGAATGTCATGCTAAAACGAAAAAAAAAATTTTTTAGTCATATTCAACATAGTATGTCATGTTAAACCTTAGTATGACACAGACCTTCACAAAAATGGCTGACAATTTGTTACAAAATGAGTATGTTGACTCATATGTTGGAGATGTATTGATGTAATAGTGCATAATGAAAAAGGTGCTTAATAGTGATTTTACGTAATATATGCTAGATATAATAGATTATGTAAAATTGATGAATGTTTTTTGATGCATTATTGAATTTGACTGTTATAACTTTTCGATATTTGATTGTAGATTTTCAGGATGTAAAAAATGACCATAATCACATTAAATTTCATTTACCAATAGAACAGAGTTTCCGAAAGTGACAAAGTTAGGATAATGACAGAGTTAGGTGGTTAGGCTATATGTAAATGGCATAATTATGACACATGTTAAACAACTCACAAGTTTTTTCATATCTTTCTCTCCATTCTCCTTTAAAAAGTGTGGTGGAAAAGGCTTCAATACAGTGTCAAATCTGTAACTGTATAATGCTGAGACAAAAAAGCTCCATCTTAAATCAGTTGCCAGGAAATTTTCTGAGAGTCTCCTCTTCAGGACTTCAGTGTCAACAGTTGTCTGATCTGTCCCCATTATCAGTCTACTGGAACAGCTTTCTAAGCACTAGTCTACATTTCTAAAGAAACATGTATATGATACATAAAATCACTGTTAATTTAGTTTTAGCACAAACACAGATCAGGTACTTTAAGCGCAATGATTAATAAATTAGTGTTATATTATATCAGGGACCTATATACTAGTTTATCATCAGTTTTACTATCTGTATACATTCTATTGACAGTGATTGACATTAGATTGCATACTTCTTGTGCAAACATTATGTTAAGGTATTTCCACTCTCACAAATTTAATGGCTCAAAGTAGAAAAACTGCATTTATTTTCACTGTATATAGTTTATTAAATAGCCCTTAGCAACATTTTTTACGGTTTGTATGATTGATTAAATAAAAAAAAAAATATATATATATATATATATATATTTTCCAATTATTTTACTTAACAATATTTTTCATTACATCTGTTGAAAAGCATTCTTCCAGACGATATTTTTCTATTGGGTAACGTCATGAATTTAAATTAATTATAAGTGTTTTTTTTTTTTGTTTTTTTTTTTTTTTTTTTTTGCAAAATCCTATGACATCACAGGAGGATGGAAATACCTTGAATTCCTGTGCGTTACGCTTAATATCAATTTCGATTAAGGATATACCTCTCCATTCCTTGTTGTCTTGTCATCTTATGTATCCTTATAAACAGATAAAAGGCTCATTCTTTCAATCAGTGTAATTTGAGGAAATTCGAAATGCAGTACTATTTTACTAAGTAAGTTGTACTATATATTATTCGCTATGGAATATAATCATTATCAATATCGTGATTATGGGAAGTTTATATGCAAATATTCTTTGTCCTTTGATGTTCTGAGGAGGGACGGGAAAGGGGGTTAAAGTAATAAAGATAAGTAAGGACCGGATCTTAATTTTCAAATTTTTTTCTTCTACATTTAGACTCTGGATTTTCATTTCCGGTTATGAAAAAATGGCATTTGCAAAAAGACCACATGGTCCTAATCTTTTGATAACAGGTAACCTAAAATTACTAATTATTTTAATGGTTTTATACATTTTAACTTAATTTATTGAAAATGCCAATTACTCATATCCAGACATTTTCTTCCGTTTTTGTTAGACAAATGGGTTTTGTGGACAACATACTGTTGTGTATCTAATGTCCTACAGTGCAGTATAGTACATGTATCTCTGTAGGTACTGAAAAGTAGCTCAGTATTAGTTCTGGTGGTAAACTGGAACAGTGAGTCGACGATTTTGATATTTTACGTGCCAGGAAAACGTCAGAACCGGCGCCATTACGAAAACTGGAAATTCGCCGCCTCCAACTGGAGGCGGCATTCTCGGGTTGATATTCGATACCTGCGAACCGAATTAAATGCTGAATTCACAACTTATCAATAGAACAATGCCTTTAGTACTCATCAACATCGTTTTTATGGTTCATTTATAAAATATACAGTCCAGTGAAATCATTTTATCGGACCCTCGAGTTTTTTTTTTCAATTCGTGCATTTAAAAATCTTGCAAGACCTGTATCGAAATGTAGAGTGATATTTTCTTTTCATCAATATTGGTGAGTATTAGAAGCATTTTGTTATTCACAAATTGTAAGTTCAGCATTTAATTCAGTTCGCAAGAATTGAAAATCAGCTCCGGTCGGAGACGGTGAAATTTCCAGTTTTCGTAATGGCGCCGGTTCTGATGTTTTCCTGGCATGTAAAATATCAAAATCGTGAAAAAAGCCTGGAAAACGTCGGATATTTCGTACTAGGTTACCACTTGAGGTCTATTCTCCTTAGAGAATACTTGAGTTTGAAGTATATTTGTTATTCTGCTATTTTTGAAGTAGTTTTAACAAATGAATCCAGCGGCACATTTGTTGTATGGCTTCTAGTTGGTCAATCATAATCCTTTGCTCGGTATACCACTCCTAAATATTCCAGTATGGAGTGAACTAATGCATTAAAGGCTATAACTTTAATTTTAGCTCAAGTGAGTTTTTCCGCTAAAAATGTGTCAGGCCTTGTCTGTCGTGTGTTCTCTGTAAACTTTTCACATTTTCGACTTCTCCAGAACCACTGGGCCATTTTTAACCAAACTTGCCAAAAAGCATCCTTGCATGAAGGGAATTCAAATTTGTTCACAGGAAGTGCCACACCCTCTCTCTCAAGGGGAGATAATTAAGAATTTGTAAAAATTTGGTGGCATCTTTTAAAAATCTTCTCAAGAACCACTGGGCCAGAAAACATGAAATTTATGTGACAGCTTCATTACATACTGTAGATTCAAATTAGTTCATATCATAACCCCCGAGGGTAGGGGGGGGGCACAACAGGGGGTCAAAGTTTTACTTAGGAATATACAGGAAATATCTAAAAAAAAAAAAAATCTTCTTCTTAAGAACAGCAAAGCCATAATTAGTGATATTTATATAGAAGCATCCTCAAGAAGTGTAGGTTCAATCTTACAAATCATGACTCCTTGGTGTAGGGGGGAGCCACAACAGGGTGTCAAAGTTGTATGTAGGTATATGCAGGAAAAATCTTTTAAAAATCTTCTTTTCAAGAACAGCAAAGTCATGATTAGTCATATTCAGTATCCTCAAGTAAGTTTCAAGATTGTGCAAATCATGACCCCCGGGGGTAGGGCAGAGCCACAACAGGGGATCAAAGTTATTCATAGGAATATCTAGGAAATATCTTCGAAAATCTTCTTCTCAAGAACAGCAAAGCCATGAACAGTCATATTTATATGGAATCATCCTTAGATAATTTAGAATGAAATTTGTTCAAATCATGACCCCTGGGTGTAGGGTGGGGCAGAAATGGAGGATCAAAGTTTAACATATGAATATATAGAAAAAGTGTTTAAAAATCTTTTTCCCAGGAACAGCAAAGCCATGGTTAGTCATATTTAGATGGAAGCATCCTCAGGTAGTGTAGAATGAAGCTTGTTCAAATCATGACCCCCTGGGGTAGGGTGGGGCCATAAAAAGTGATCAAAGTTTTACATAAAATATGTAGGAAAAATAATCTGCAAATGAAGAAAAGAAGGGCAATAATTACTCAGGTGAACATTGTGGCCCATGGGCCTCTCCTTTTTTTTATTTTAACCGTATTTAAGATTTCAGCTAATAAAACAAAGTATAGAATTTTCTTAATTGAAATTTTATTTATGTGAGTAGACCACTCGTATTGAGGTTGTCTCTTAAAGTGGTTCCAAGGTTAGGTATGTGTTTTTCTTGACTTGTTCAAGGTTATGTTCATTTAAAGTATATCAATATAGTGATATATATACATTGATATACATCATATAGGGAAATTTTCATCCTCTTTTTTTTATTTCCTCCCCATTCTCATTTGTGGGCGAATTCAAGCAGGTGATTTTAACAGAAACATTATATTATCTGGGCAAATTTTAAAATGGGCAAAATCTTTTGCAAGTGTAACTTGATGAAAAATAATACAGGATGGAAAAAACCCTGTATAGAGTATAAAAGCATCACACCAATCCAGCATTATTAAAACATTTTAGGAACTCCTGGAACAGGAAAGTCAACTTTAGCAGCAGAACTTGCTCAGAAGACAAACTTAAAATATGTTAACATCGGGGAGATCGCCAAGGACGGTCAGTTATATGAGGGATGGGATGAACAGTACCAGTGTCCAATTCTGGATGAAGACAGAGTATGTACTTACAACACCTAGATTTCATAATCCTGGAAAAACTTTGCTTAAAAACTTGTTTTTTGTATTTTAGATATGGAAGAGGAACTCTATAAAAACAAGGATTTCAGCATTGCAAACTGATATCAAGACCTAGTTCTCTTTAATAGCATAATATTTCTTAATAACTAGACACATAAATTGTACCAACATTCTGGGTTTCTTCATTACAATTGAATAGATAATTGAATAGATACATAACCAAGTTAGCAAAAGGTTTTTTATTTTATGCCCATTGATATAAAAGTCCTATTAGTAAAAAGTATTAAGAAAAAGAGCAGAACCTTGGTTTTAATTGTAATGTATGTATATTCACTATGAAGCCTATGGGATTGCAGTTCACCTCATTCAACTTGATATTTGGTTCACAGGTTATAGATGAATTAGAGGAAGTCATGTCTGCTGGTGGAAACATTGTAGATTATCATGGATGTGAATTTTTCCCAGAGAGATGGTTTGACATCGTCTTTGTACTTAGAACAGATAACACAGTATTGTATGAAAGACTTGAGAACAGGTAAGGTCAAAATTCAACAAGTATTTTGTTTTGCCTCAGAGTAGAATGATGCTCTGTGACTGGATAACAGACGTCTTGTGCCTGCCTTCAGTATTTCTTTGGGTGGCGGAGTTGCAAAATTTAGAAGGCAACATGTCGAATAAAATGATGAGATGTCATCTAAATTTAAAAAAAGCAAATCATGCAAGTGCTATTTTCGCACTTAATTCACTATGTCCTACCAATTCGGCATTACTGCGATAAAAATTTGTATATGATGCTAGGTACCAAATTCAAGATTGCTACTTTACCACATATGATATTTAAATATAGTAGGTTTTCTCCTTTTCAGGGAAATAACTGTATATTTTTGCATAACTTTGTTCCAATAATTATAAGTGAAATATCTGTATCCATATGACAACTAGTGGCTAGTTGAGCAGCTCATTCTAGTGATCTAGATATCTTGGACCTAGCTTGCTTCTAAAGAGGCTGGATTCTTGTGATGACTACTTTTTGATTTCTATAAATGGTAGTATTTAAATCAATCAACTATTATTTGAAAAATGCTACATGTACCAGGTAATTTGCACTTTGAAGAAAATTAAAAATGCACAAAATACAAGGCTGAATGTGCTGTGAATTTGGTACATGTATTATCAAAAGACCATTTCCATATAGATGTTGTAGTATTTTAAAACCAGTCAACTACTGTACAAAATGTGTTACAATACACGTAATTTGAAATTTAAATGAAAAGTATACAAAAAGTATACAAAATACAAGATTTGATGTGCTGCTGAATTTAGTAATACTCTGTATTAAGACTATTCATGAACCTTTGACTAAACATTTTCAGGGGCTATTCGGGGAAAAAACTGGAAGACAACATCCAATGTGAAATATTTCAAACAATCCTGGATGAAGCTAGAGACTCATATAAAGTTGAAATAGTGCATGAACTACCCAGTAACACTCCTGATGATCTGGAGGATAATTTAGAGAAAATCTCGGCATGGATTCAACAGTACAACATAAACCAGGGAGCCATTGTATAGCCTTACTTCAATGATACATGTACAGTGTACTATGCATAGTTTTGTCAGAAAATAGTGGTTGTAATTTTGAACTTCCTTCCCAATTATACCAATTTAACTCATGAATTGTTCTAAACTATGCAAGAATCAAAACATGATCCAAATTAAGAGAAATATTAACGCAATCTGAAAATGAAAAAAAAAATTTGAAGTTTCCTCGTTATCCTTAATGAAAAAACCTGGATTTGTCAATTTATAAATATGATGTACATGTATATAGATGCTATTCCCTTTACATAAATACTACATGTATGTATTATTCTTACAGTACTTTGTAGCATTTAATCAGTCTTATAATGACAGTAAAAGTTGTTGTAACAATATATATGCATACAAATTACTCGATGTTTGGCAACATTTCTTCCATTTGAATAATGTTCATACATGAACCGGTACTTTAACTTATCTATTGAATTATTTTAGCTCTACTGGTCAGAAGAGCTTGTGAGATAGTAAGGTGTTCATCGTCCATCTGTCTATGAACAATTTTTCAAATGCTACTCCTCCAACATTTTTTGTTTGATTTTGATTTAGTTTGGCATACAAGTAGACTACGCTAATATATAAGGTACTGAATTCTGTGTATCAGTTTTGGATTTAGATGAACTGTATTTCCATGGTTATGAAAAATAGAAATTTCTGTGAAATTCATTCAAAATGCTACTCCTCCTACAGTTTTGGTCTGATTTCAGTATAACTTAGCACAAGTAGACTACACTAAAATACATAAATCTTTTTATTGGTTTTTACATGTAGTCGTATATCATATCTTACATTATTTAAAATGTCTATTCTTTGCAATATTCTTTACTATTTGATTTTGAGACTAAACTAAGGATCATTATTTTATGTATTGCTTTTGCATAGTTTCAAGTCCAAGTGCTACTTTTCTTTTCCTTTGCTTAAGTACAAACCAGTAGAGCTACAATCTTATTAGAGACTTCTGGTTCCTTTTATGGAACTTACAGTGCAGACAGAGCATTTACAAGACCTACATAAATTACTGTTTGGTGCAATTGCACATATAAAGTTGCATTCACCACTTCATTTTTATTCAAGTGTAAATTGCATTTTTCTCCAAGTATGACTGCTAATGAAACTTTTTATTGTTTCAATATGGTCATGATGGTGTATTTTCTTGATTGACTTTTATTGCAATGACTGTTTATACTGACAGGGCATTTAATAGATACAGTTCTGCAACATGAGGAATGGACTAGTCAGTTTAAAACAAATAATTTTGATTTCTAGTAATTATTATGTCACAATACATCGTATACAGTCTATTTTAATGCAAATAAATTGATATGTGTCTATGGACAATTTAAGGTAAATTATTATCAAAATATTATTTTTATATAATAATATTTCAGTTATTTTGATTTGCAGCAAAAACTGTTGTTGTCCTCTTTTGTTTGTTTGTTTGAATAATGAGAATAATGTAAATAAAATTAAATATCAGCTATTAGCTTGTTTTTCCCTTTATTTTTTCCCCTTTATTTATTAGTTTTAAATTGCCATTCTATAAAAAAGAATCCATAATAATGTGGTTGGTCTTAGCTTGGAATATAATGAATCCTACAGTAAGTGTACTTCTTTTACACAAAATTTTATCATGCTGTTAAATTCTCTGGTTCATTTCTTTACCATCACCCATAGGTTGTAAGGTCCCTATTTAATGTTGACATTTACTGGGTATTTGCCCTGATAAATGTTCTTTAACCTGTTCAGTTACTGTCTTACTAAAAACCAACCAACATGAATTTGGCTGGTAACAAATACTCTAATCTCTATAATTATTTATATAAAGTCTTTCCCTTTTTAGCTCTTCTGATTTCTGAGCCAAAGGCTCAAAGAGCTAATGCTATGGCCAATTGTGCGGTTTGCATAAACTTTTTAGAATATGGGCCATATCTCAAGAACCCCTTGGCCAATTTTTGTCAGTTTTGTCACAGAGTATCCTTGGCCCAAGGGCTCTCATTATACTAAAACTAGGGATTTGACCCTTAAACAAGGGGAGATAATTAGGAAAATAAACACAAATGTACTGGTTGCTAAAAAATCTTTTCAAGAACCACCAAGTCCTCGGGTATATCAACTGAAAAGTAGGTCATGGTGCCCCACTTTCGAAAATTTTATGGCCATATTTAAATATTTCATGTACTTATTGGCTTGGAATCATCAATCTTTGTCAGTTGATGCATCTCAGGTCCTTGGGGTACATCAACTGAAAAGTAGGTCACTGTGACTTACTTTTGAAAGTTTTATAGCTATATTAAAATATTTCAGATACTTATTGGCTTGGAATCAAATTTTGACAGTTGATGCATTTTGGGTCCTCAAAGTATGTCATCTAAAAAGTAGGTCACCATGACCTACTTTTGAAATTTTATGGCTAAATTTAAATATTACAGGTACATATTGGCATAGAATCATCAAACTTTGTCAGTTGATGCATCTTGGGTCCTCGGAGTATGTCAGATTCCATGACCTACTTTTGAAATTTTCCAGCTATATCTATATATTTGGGATATTAATTGGATTTTAATCATCAAACTTTGACGTTGATGTATTTTAAGTCCTCAGAATATGTCAACTAAAAAGTAGGTCACGGTACTTACTTCCTGAATTTCAAGGCAATATCTAAATATTTCAAATAAAAAGAGACATTTTTGGGGTCTCGGAGTATGTTTACCAGAAAGTAGGTCACTGTGACCTACTTTTCGAATCTCATGGTTATATCTAAATATTTTAAGATAAAAAGGGGCTTTGAATCATCAAACTTTGTCAGTTGATTCATTTTGGGTTCTCAAAGTGTTTTAGCCAAAATGTAGGTCATGATGACCTAATCTTGGAATTTCAAGGCTTTATCTAAATATACAGCATACTTAGAGGCTTCAAATAGAAGTGATAGGTTGTACAATTTAGCAGAAGAGCGATTCAAGGCCCTTGGGCCTCTTGTTATGATTTTTTGTAGATAACCAACGATTTATTGAAGACAACTCCAACAAATATATCTGTAACTGGCTGCTTTTCACTTACTCTGGTTTCGTCAATTTTTGTAGGAATCAAATTTTGTGATTTTGGTAAAAAGATACATTTTTATTGTTCTTTAAATTCATGGATAGCTACGTTTTTTTTTCTATTCCATAAGAAAAATAAGCAGTTCATTGATCACTTAATTTTGTGGTCTAGATCGAGCGTAAACAACCAAAATTGGTGTTCAACAAAAAATGGTCAAACCACAGTACCTAGTACCGGGGTAAGCTAAATATATATTGGCCCACTTTCAAACTTTGTGTTTGCTTTTTTCAGAAATGACTACATGTTTTTTTTGTGCCAAAAATCATCTGACATGGTGGCAAAGGAAACTTTTGTCAATTGTATGGAAATGCATTAAAATTTGAAATGCAAATAAATTTAAATTAATAATTAATGTTTTCAAAATTTTGCAGAAACATTTTCATCTCCAATAGCTAATCACACATATTTTTTTTTAATAAATACTGTACAGTAAAACGCAAAATTAAGCAAGCATGCTTATCATGAATTCACACTTACAGTGAAATGATTTTCATTCCTTGTAGTTTTAAAGAATATTATGAACTTACAGATAACAGATTACATTCATAACAAATCAAAATTGTTCACCCCTGGCACATTGCTATTGAAGCTTTTGAGATTAATTTTAGTTCAAAGGACAATGATTCTTTAAAGTTGCATAATGAGTCAAAATCATGTGTTTCTTTAAAGATAATTGTATCATAAAACAAAAGATTTATGTGAAATATGACTAAAGCGAAGTTTTGAAAACTCAACTGCACTGTAAAGCAAGAAAAGAACTGCAAAATATAAGTGCCGGAAAAACAAAGGTTGTATCTACCGCTTTGTTGTTATTGTCAATGTCCACAATGTCAAGGTCGAGCGACTTTTATTTTTAGCTTGAAACTTGTAAACAACATTGAATTGGAGCAAACAGAAGTGAGAAATAAGTTCTGATCATCTTTATTGAAGACTGTATCATAATCTTCGGTCATCTGATATTTATATCTATGGAACTGACAGCATGGTTAATTCTTCAACTTTTCTGTGCATGCGTACAATAAAGAGGAAGAAGTGAAGCAATATTTTTGTGTTGGGGCAAACAAAAATTATTTTTACTTTTATTTTTCTCCAAAAAAGTAGATTTTTAAGGTTCTGAAACCTGTAATTTTCTGAAACCTAATATCTTCAAGAATTGAATAAAATTTGCATATGTCATCCAAAAATTCTACTTTTTCAGTGTTCCCATTTTTCTGTCGCAGTGTCACTTTAAATTCAGTCTTTTCTATTAAACTTATGACGAATCCTGCAGATGACAAATGGTTATAGAATATTAATTTGATAGTCAGAATAAATGTTTCCAGCATTAATTCATTGTAGTTCACCTCTCCATGAGTTCCATGAGTATTTGCCCTTGTGCTATGTTTCCTCCTTTCTTTCACAAGAGTTCAGACAACTAAGGGAAATAATTTGAAAATTGCTTATACAAGTCTTCATTTCCTGACAAATGGATGTTGCTATGTATAATTATAATCATAACAAACACAACTTGACCAATCAAATTGTGTGTCAACAACTAGGATGTAATCAAAATGACCATTTCATGAAAATTTATAAAATAGACAAGTAATGAAGTACCTATGCCATTTGCACATCCATTAGTTGATTTCTACTCTGCATTCAATTGAATCATCCACAAAATAATACAAACTTTTTATGATTTTATTTATCATTTTTATGTGAAAAATGATGACAGAAGTAAGATATAAGTTGATAAGTGTATATAGCAAACAATAACAATTGGAAGCTAATAATTAACAGCTACAGAAATCAAGCAAATTTTACGTTTGATAATTACGTGTATTCCCATGTTTGAGGATAATCTTGTGAGCATCTGATAAGTCCTGTCTATACCCTTGGAAAATACTGTATTAGACAAGAAGAATTCCGTATCCAAAGTGAAACATGATGGTATAATATTTCTAGAGTTTCTCACTCTCCAAATCCCAACCGTACAGTTTGCTTTACATTTATTATGAAGAATGTAATAAAAACAAATATAAGGAGGCCTGGACAAATTAACCAACAGATCCACTTAAAAATATAAGATATGATTTTTATAGCCATTAACTATTATTTAGTAAAGAAAAATATTCAAGTTATAATATTTAACACAATTTCCTATATTTTTATACAGAGCTCTACTTTCCCAGGAAGTTTAATGGTATACAAATAGTAGTGACCACCGAGTCCTCTTAAAGATATAGAAGAAAAATGATTTCTGTATGTGAATTACAGTGGATCACAGTAGACTATAATAGAAATGCAACACATAGCAATGTACTCTCTAAGTTTATTTTGGTTTCTCCAGTTTTTGGTGAATTTTACACAAATGACTCCATATGTCCCGTTTCTATGAATGTATTCTCACACAAGAATACATCTTCCATTCTGAAGCTCCATCCCCTTGAAAGCACTAATATCATGAAAATTATCACACTTATGCAGTATTCACTAACAAGCATTTCACTACACAATAAACTGGTACAAGCAATTTTGACTTCCAGTGATACGCTAAGGAAAACAAGACCCATGGGCCACAATGCTCACCTGAGTAACTTTGGTCATGCTGGGTTTTTTTTAAATTGCCCTCTTTAATTTGTGCACCAAAATCCAGCCTTAAGGGGACTATGATTTCATCAAAGTTAAATCCACACAACATTTGGATGACTATCAATATGACTAACTTGAATCTTCTGTTCTGGATTTTTTTCTCTGTACACATGCATTGTGTAGAATTTTGATCCATCCCTAACCCAAGGGTTCATTATTTAAAAAATGAATCCACAAACTTTGGAATGTTTTGCTTATAAATGTGATTTAGTGTGGCCTTGCCACTCTTGGTAGTTTTCTTCCTACATACTCTTTGTAAAACTCTGATCCCCATTGAAGCTTCAACCTATTCCAGGGGCCCTGATCTGAACAAACTTAATCTAAACTACCTGCAGATAAGATGCTTGCATATTAATATGATTAATCATGGCTTTGCTGCTTTTGAAAAGAAGATTTTAAAAAATTTCTAAATATTCCTATGTAAAATTTTGATCATCTACTGTGGCCCCACCCTATCCCAAGGGGTCATGATTTGAACAAAATTGTACCAAGGATGCTTCTTTATTAATATGATTAATAATGGCTTTGTTCTTGAGAAAAAGATTTTTAAGATTTTTCCCCCATATATTTTGGTGTAAAACTTTGCTCTCCTTATTGTGGCTCCCCCCCCCCCCCCCTACTCCCAGAGGTCAAGATTTGAACAAAATTGAATCTACACTACGTAATGAAGCTTTCACACAAGTTTCATCTTTTCTGGCATAGTTGTTCCTGAGAAGAGGATTTTTAAAAGATGCCATTTAGTTTCATTAATTCTTAATTATCTCCCTTTCAAAAGGGTGTGGCCCTTCATTTGAACAACTTTGAATTCCCATCACCCAAGGATGCTTTATGGCAAGTTTGGTTAAAATATTGGCCCAGTAATTCTTGAGAAAAAGTTGAAAATGTGAAAAGTTAACAAAGAAAGATGGATGACAGATAAATGGACAAACAGACTGATGCCAGACAAAAGTGATCAGAAATGCTCACTTGAGGTTTCAGCTCAGGTGAGCTAAAATTAAAATGAGTACATAATATTTAAGTACTAAATTTACCGTACTTCCAGTGTGTCTATAATTAAAGTTTTTCTCTTTTTTTTTTTTTGCAATCACTTAAGAATTAAGAATTTTTTTTTACTACAAATACCTTAAACAATATGCTGTATTTTTGAAGTACCAGACATCTGTTACCAATGATAAATGACAATATCGAAAATCTAAAAATCAGACAAGTTTTCTATCAGTAAAACCAGAGTCAGTGTGTCATATTACCCACACACATACACCCCATGAACACCAGGACTGCAGTCAGTTTTCTCCCTTTCATGTCGCCTGTAGTTGGCCCTTGCAAACATCCATTCAGTTTTACCTTTCTCTGTAGTGTCTATAAATCTCTGATATTGACGAAACTTCATTTTCTTCAGGTACCAGGAGTCATATTTATTATAATCGCAAAGTCCTTTGGTTGGATCACAGCCTCTGAACTCTTCTGTATCATTGTTTGTCTGCTGGAGGTTCAAGTTACCAAAATAAGGCATGCTATTGAAGTGTTTTTCACTGCTCTCATCATCATCGTCATCATCATCATCATCATCTTCATAATCATGGAACTTGAATGTAAACTGATTCTGTTTGTTTAGATTTTGTGGGAATCCAGGGCATTCCCATCTCCCAGAAACCAAAATTCCCTCCTGCCATGGTAACAATGTTCCCTGGCAATTTGGATCCATCAACATAAAGTTGTTTAGATGGAAAGACATGGCATTCCACCACCAATCCCACTGACAACTGTACCACATATGATCTGCATCGTACATTTTATCAGCACTAAATCGTTCATCAAAGTCCTCCAGTATGTTAAAGAACTTCTGCCTCTTTTTCATATTCATCTTACAGAATTGGTATTCATGCATCTTTTCAAATCTTCTTTTGATTTTTTGGAATTTTCTGTCTCTCTTCCTCTCAAATCTTTCTGCTTTTCTTTGGTGTTTGGCCCATGGCTTATCATCATCTTTTTCTTCTTGGAATGATCTTCTTCCAGTTCTTGCCTTGAAAAACTTGGAATCTTTTTTGTTCTTCTCTTGGTACATATCATCATTTTGTTTATGCCTTGGATATTTATCTTCTTTATGATTTCTCCAGTGGTGGTTTTTATGTTTGTGTCTTTTCTCTGTGTAGTAATCATCATTCTGTTTGTGTCTTGGATAAGCTCTATGATGTCTTAACCAGTTCCTGGCTCCTTCCAGCTTTGCTGAGATCTTCTGGGCAGCCTCTTCAACATTCATGACTACATTACTTTTTAGCTTTGTAAGAACTGGCTCATTTTTCTTCCAAAGATCTTCAGACATATTTTTCACCTGAAAATACAAATATTTCATATATAAAATCTACTGATATCTGTAATCCTCACTTGTTGTTGACAAATAGCTATTGCAAATCAACTTTAGTTAGCAAACTACTAACTTTCATCATTTTCCTATTATCATGAAAAATTACTTTTGAGACTGAGAGAGGAAAATAAACTCATGAAAGAAATTCACCACAGTGATGTTAAAAGGACAAAGTCAGGGAAGAAAAAAGGCCAGGAAAGCTAAATCTTAGCTGTTCATATATACAGTCAGATCTTTATCTCAAACTCAATGGGACCAAGAAATAACTTAAAGATATCTGAGGACTCAAGATATCCAGGGTAAAATCATCATTGGATACCCACAGGCGATCTTGTCTTTTACTCATCACCCGTGGGCAAAGTCGCTGAAAAATTACTGTATGTAGTTAATATGCATGGGTCATTTGATTGGCTGCTCCACAGAGTCGCGATGACAAATCAACAAATTAAAGTTTACGTTACCTATGTATGTTAGGCAATGACAAAAGATTTTACGTAGTTAACAGATTGCAAATAAATACACACACTGGTGCATTTCGCAGGTACTCCCATATAATTTCCTACTGGTATTTGATTTAAGTGATCTGTACGATTTGTCCTTAATCGTTTTGAAACAAAATTTGCACCTTTTAACGAGCGTCAAGATATTAAGCATAAATAGCAAATGTATTTTCAAAATTGAAGTTCCAATTTTCTGATTGGTTGTCTATAACCCACTGGTGATGAGGAAAAGATGAGATCACCCATGGGTATCCGACAATGGGGTAAAATACTTAAAGAAAAAGGGGTTTGGTTTCCAAATCACTCCAACATATCCATGGTAATTGAGATGTCAGTTTCGAGATATCGAACTTAAACTGTATTTAAGAGCTGAGATTGTAATAAGTGATTCTCCACCTTCCACATACCTGTTTCCATGTGTCCTGAATCTGCTGAGAAACAACTGACACCGAAGCCTTGGTTTTGTTTAAGATCTTGTGCATCGTCTCTCTCCAATCAGTCTTCATACTGGACTGACTGTTTTCCTTCTTGAAATTATTCTCTTCTGATCCTTGGCCCCCAGACCTTGAGTTTGGTTGCTCCTCTGCATTCAGGATACTTTCTGAGCTTGTGTTAGACACATCTTCATCCTCCACTACCTCATCTCCTAAGTCTTCATCCAGAATCTCCACATCCTCTTCAATATCTTCATATCCACACTCCAATGACTCAGATTTTATTTCAGATGAATCTTCCCATACCATTTCCTCTTCAATGTCTTTTATTTTACCAATACCTTCACATTCACCTTCCAAAGGATCCAATTTCAACCCTTTTTCTATGTTTGTTCCTGGATATTCAATGTTTACTTCACTCCCCTGCAACTGTTCAGATTCTTCTGATCGGTCTGCAACATTCTTGTGGTCACCAGAAGGAAATACACCTGGCATTCTATCAATCTTGTTCTCACTTTGGGAAATTTGCTCTGAGCTCCTTTCATTGTTACTATCTTCAATTTTGTCCTCAATATCATTTTTCTCAGAAGATTCAGTAACATGGTAATCAATATCTAAATTATGAGGAAACGGGTGTACGACATCAATGATGCTAACATGTTTTTTATCCCCCTCCCTCTGTCCATCAGAGAGGCTCTCCATATTCTCCTCAGTTTTGACTTCATTGATAGAATCATTCATTTCTTCTTCCATTTCATCATGTTCATTGTCTCGTTTATGTGCACAAGAAGATATTAGTGACCCACTTTTCTGCAGCTCATCATCTAAAATCAAGAAATTGACACAAGTTATATATGTATATGTACATTACAAAAATTTGAAGGGAGTCATTGTTACCTAACAGGTTCTTTTAATTGTCTGCAAGATTCTCAAAAACTTGGAGAATCTAACGAAATGTTAAAAAAGAGCTATTCTGCAGCAAGTAAGAATAAGTTACTTTCTCTGGGGAGTTCAGTTACGTAAATATATTTGGATGCAGGAGATCCTTTTCTCAATTTTCTTAATGTTTGTATATACATGCATAATGTACTGTTGCCAAATGGATTCTAATGTGTTCTTATTGAGAATCTTCCCAATAATGCTTAAAAGAAGGAAGACATACAGTTGAACTTCAGTATCTCTTAACTTAAGCATCTCTTAATTTCGGTGTCTCTTTAACTTCGGTATCTCTTAACTTCAGCATCTCTTAACTTTAGCATCTCTTAACTTAAGCAGCTCTTAACTTCGGCATCAATTAACTTCGGCATCACTTAACTTTGGCATCACTTAACTTCAATATCTCTTAACTTCAGTATCTCTTAACTTCGGCATCACTTAACTTCGGTATCTCTTAACTTTGGTATCTCTTAACTTCGGTATCTCTTAACTTCAGTATCTCTTAACTTCAGTATAACTTTAGCATCTCTTAACTTTAGTATCTCTTCACTTAAGCATCTCTTTAACTTCAGTATCTCTTAACTTCCGTATCTTGAACACCATGGATATGTCAAAGTGAGGTGGAAGTCCCAACTGCCTTCTCTTTATGTATTTTAACTAGGGATGGCAACAGTTAAAGATTAATCAGTCAGAAAAATCTTAGTTAGTTAGAATATTCATAACCGGTTAGTTGATGCTCTTTGCAGTATATGTACTTTTCAAATAATATTTTTATCTTTTAAAATTAAAACTGATAAATATGTAATGCAGAAAGCGACCAATTAATACTCAAAACACCGCCCACTGTAAAAACAATAATTTATTCATTGTTACCCTGAATACTAACCCCTATACTAAAAGAAAATTCTACCATTTTTGCTTTATTAATTTCATTAATTATCAATTATTAAGTTCAAACTGATTCGACTAAACTACGGAATCAAATAACTCATCTGAAAACATAGACATATCAGGGTTTGACATTAACTTTTATGAGTACTAGACCAGTCGGGCTACTTCCCATAATTTTTACTAGTCCTGACCATCAAATCACTAGCCCTGATAAAACTTGGAAATATGGAAATAACGAACAAAAACGAACAGATAACGAATCTGCTAGTTATAATCATGACAATGAAAAAAGTTTTGAAACCATACTTAATAATAAATATTTTGACAGACTGTTCTATAAGTCGCAGGCCACTGAATCGGGATTAGTGGGACATGCGAATATTATATGCCTTAAAGAACATTCACTGAACTTTAATAAAATAATTACCCTAAATATAAATAATTAAAGAATATATTCATACAAATTGATACTGAACTGTAAAAGCTTGATTCAATCACGACTTGTCTATTACAGCAGGGCTAAAATAGCGATTGTGTCATGTGAGGAAGTTTTCTTAAAGCTGAACACGATTCTTAATAGGAATTTGTCTGCCATATTCGATTGTTTTCTCGCTATATCTGAGGGCCCGTATATAAAGCCGCTCACTTAGTCACTGTTCAGTGTAAACAGTCGACACAGGTGTAGATGGACGTATGCTACACAACGCTCGGTGGCGACAAAAAGTAACTGTGTACTTCTTTTACTGCAGGAGAGTAATACAAAAGAAACTTACAGCAGTTGCACAGGTCAGTGCAGTACACAAACAAACACAAATACACGTAACTGCAATAAAATGTAAACAAAGGTAATGGAAGAAAACCAGCTCGAACACATGTTGCCATTCCACGCCGATACCCATGACAATAAAGCAGTCAGGTGTAGCGAATGCGAAGGGTATACCCCGGTTCTGATATCGTAGATAGTATTATCGAAAATGGCCTATTTACTAGTCATGTTCAGCTTTAAACAGAGCGATGGCTGTGTTTACAATCAAACATATAAGACAATTTCTTTAAAAACTTTGTAGTATATTTATTTGAAAGACTCAAATGAGGGTTAATATTTATTTCATCCACACAACCAGTGGGTCTAGTTCACAAACATTTTACAAGACAGGACCACTCATTTACTAGACTGGGTCGGTTGGACGTGCCTTAGTGTCAAACCCTGCATATTTATATCAACAAAAAATGGCTAAAATTAAGTATTAAGTACAATACAGCAAAATTACACTAAATCTAATGCAATGTTTATATCAATTGGTCTTCATGACATCATAAACATTCTTTCATATCAAGCTTTATGTTTAAAACATAAAATCCTAGTGTTTAGAACTGTTTCTTATGACCTTTTAAGTCCAATGTCATGCCCTAATCTGGACACATTAAAACTCAGACTTAATTTACCTAACAGTTTACCTTCTTCATTCCCTGGGTGTGATCCATACTTCAAACTTCCTACCAATTTCTTCAAGTCTTCATTTTCATGCTGCAACTTGTTCACTTCTAATTTGAGTTCCAAGTTTTTCTTGTTAGCTGTTCTTTTTTCCTCCTCTGCAGATGTCACAATAGAACTATACCTCAGTTTCATCACCTCTGAACGAAGGTCAACAACTTCATTTTGAGCCTTGTTTGCCTCTTTCTTCAGTGCAATGTTTTCTACAGTTAACTTTTCCACATCCTGCAGGAACAACATAGATTTTGATCTCTAAACATACAACTTGCTATAAAGATCATAATTCATTGATTTCAAAGAAAATATATAATGTTTGTGCTCAGGATTAAAGTGATTAATACTTTCTAAGTAACTTTTAGTCTATGACTAAATTCTTTTGCTGACTTGGCTGAACATTTATAGATGAAATATAAGTAAAATCCTTTGTTAACATGTGAAGTATATCAATGATGAGACAAATTACCTCCATATCAAATTGGCAGTGTCCATCTTCATCAATGTTGACAGACATTTCTCTTAAGTTCATGTTGACAAATCTCTCCTTGGCAGTTCCTAAAAGTTTTGCACATTTTATTGTATAACAATATATTTCTAGATTTTAAAAATATGATTGGATTGGGCAGCAGGCAATGCCTATTGCACCCTTTCCATTTAAAACCATTTAAAACATGTAATAGTATACACTTATCCACTGGCTGTGAGTGGGATAGCTCTTTTATCAAACCCGCGACAGGAACTATTCCCCAAGGGCTTGCCCGAGGGGAATAGTTCCTGTCAAGGGTTTGATGAAAGAGCTATCCCACTCACAGCCAGTGGATAAGCGTTTTATTATACTGATGTATATCATAATTTCTGAGGGTTGGATTTACCTGATACTACAGTTCTATAGTAAAAACATGAAAAAAAATTATAAAAGTCTTGAACAAGTATCTGGAATAAGATAACACTGCTAGAATGAGCTGAAATCCTGATGACGTCACAATGCTACTGAAGTCAGGATGACATCATAAGTCTATAGATTGATTACAGGAAATCAAAATTGGCGGCAAAAATTGCATGAAAATTTTCCGAGGGGTGGATAGCAAAAACTATACCCCGGGGTATAGCTTTGCTATGTGTGGAAATTTTTAGACTATAAAGATAGTTATTTTACCTTCTTAACTTTATATAGGAAACATTTTAACAGAAGTATAATAATTATAGCTAACACACGATGCCGTCATGGAAATTACCGTTTTTCAGCAACCTACAAAATAGGCGAATGTGGATATCAAAGACTTATTCTGGTCTAGTTACATCACATAGATAAATGAAGTGCCAACAGACATGGGTCAGACTGTATTTCCCATTTTCAATGCCATGAGCGTAAAATTTTGATTATCACTGTTGATAATTTTGGCCAAATTTTGTGCAAGTTAAGGCATTCTGCATGGTGGCCCTATCAGCATCAATCCTTTATCATTACACACATGGAAAATGGAGTGGTCCTTATCTTGAAAAAATATGAATTTTACACCAATAATCAAAATTAATAATTTTGAGAAGTTCTGATGAAATTGAGGTTTTTCACAGGATGCCAAAAATTTGAGGTAAATCTTAAAAGATAGAAAAATAGACAAAAACAGAAAAGAGGGTGTATTTTGATAAGAAATCTCTTAAAGTGAACAAACACTCATCACAAACTACTTTTTCTGCAGGAATAATAAGCCCAAGTAAACAATACACTGTACTTCTAAGCTTAACCTGTACACTGTGCCAAAATCTGATGCAATAAAATATGAAAATATATAAGGGGTAGTACTACAATACTCACCAATAGCATGACCAATGCCTAGACCAACAGCAATAGAAATCACCACAACCATCACTAAGTTCAAGGTCACATTGACGGTTGGATTAGGTCTAAATACATATTGTCTGATGAGGTTGTTTTCAGCCATTAGGTCACTGATGTCAACATTGGACAGTGTGGAGAAATCATCGCTGTGACGATCATCACTCCGGTCACTCTCAATGCGATCATCCTGCTCGTCTGCCATTTCTGGGGATGACTCAGTATCTGGGTCATCTATAAATATTAATTAGAGATAACTGAATCATGTTTGAATTAATAGCTACCTTTATTCCATGAGTTAATGAAACAATAGGCCACAGGCCTCAACAGTCACCTGACTTTAGAATTATACAATAATGGACTCTTTCCATGGTTTGTTATTTACCAGAAAATTATCAATATTGACCTTGGCAAAGCTGATTTTGTAAGAGGCATCCCTGCTCACCATAACCATGCACTTTTTTTTTTTTGCTAAATATCCATGGACGAGAAGATTTTCAAAGAGTTAATGCATTTTCACTATACATTTATAAGTAATAGAGCCCAGCTCTACACCAGAACCCCTGACTATGGGGCTAAGAATTTTACAATTTTGGAAGAGGCATCTTTGCTCATCATAATCATGCAACTAGTTTGTCTACTAAATAAACTAAATAAACAGGAGTGGAGAAGAAGCTTTTAAAAGAATTTATGCATAAGAAAAGGATTTATGCATATTCATTACATAATCAATAGAGCCCCATCCTAACTCCTGAACCCCTGATCCTGGGGCAAGAATTTCACAATTTCCATAGAGGGCTCAATGCTTATTATAATCATGCCAACAGATTGCTTGTTTGATATCTAGGAGTAAAGAAGATTTTTGAAGATTGCATTAATTTTGATCGTTTTAGCCCCACCTCTCAGGCCCCAGTGAGAAAGAAACCATGATATTCATATTTTTCATTCCTCTTTACCCATAGATGCTATATACCAAAATTGGTTGATATTGGTTCAAATGGTAATGGATGACTGACAATGACAGACAAAAACATATAGCAATAGGTCACTTGAGTATGTCTCAGATGATTAAGAACTAGATAATGCACCTTGGGGAACTCCAAGAAACATAAAGTCCTCCTCCTCCTCTCTTGACCCTTGATCCACCCCTCCATTTTCAATGAAAGGAGGAGGATTAAGTGGTTCCTGGTCTTCTGTGCATGGAGCCTCCAAAACCTGGAAACTCTGCATGGGACCATTTTCTCCTGCCTGCAAGCTCTGCAGAAAGATAATTCAGACTCTGAATATTTATTTTTAAGCTACTTGCAATCAGGTCCATTATATTATTGTTTTAAAAACGTTCTTCTGAAGTGACAGAAGGATGAATTCATGCCTGAAAAAAGTAACTTACATTCTGTATTTCTTCTTCAGCTAGTTCTTCAACTGTCTCCTTTTCTCCTTTGTTTGGACAATTTTCAGCTTTCTCCTGTATCAAGAACATAACACATTAAATCTTAAAGCACCAGTTTTAGCATTGATATTCTAATGAGCAATTAACGTAAATCCAGTGAAGTTCATTTCTAGCATGCATAATAAATAAGCTGATCTAAAAGAGAGAGAGAGAATTAAGAAAGGAGAATCACATTTAACCTTTTGAGGATCAGGAATGGTCTCAAAGTCCCTTTCCTCCTCACTAGGTGTTAACAACCCTGACGACAAAAAAGAGAGATCCTGTGACTTGGGAAATTTAGATTTTGACTTCTTACGTCTCTTCAGATTCCCTTGATCTCTGTCTTGGTGGTGGTCAGATTCATCAGATTCTGTCAGAGAATCTGTGCAGGGAAAATTACAATTTCCTTATGCATAAAGTACAAATTCAGTATACAGATTAATAAAAGATCAAGCATAGATTTTATAGCCCAAAATATACTTTGAAAACAGGTAAATACTCGGTATAATAAAATATTGCTCTGAAATTAGCTACTGATTCTGGCAAAAATTTGATCAACTTGTATGTGGGTCAATAGCAAATTCCTCCAAAATAATCTGTAAGCGGACCAACTTATATGTGAGTATATATGGTATTCATTAAAACTTTTTACAGTATTACAATCAATGGATTAAGGAAACCTTTTTCTTTACTCCTTAGCCTTAGAACAAGGTATGATCCAGATGTGGGAGAAGGTAAAAGTGGCTCCTGAATTGACTCCAAAGACTGAGGGTCACTGGTATCCATAGTGACAACCTCAATTGAACTTTCAGAGGTCTCACTCTGGTTATCATCAGAACTCTGCAGAAGATGAACACAGTTTAATATTAAACATGAAGTAAGAGATACACTAAACCACCACTATGTACATCTTCACAAGCCAAGACTTTTAAGTCTGCTACACTTCCTATAAACCCCTGGCAGATTACACAACCAAACCTGACCGACATTAGCATTAGCTTCTGGGCATACTGAATTTGAACTCTCTATTCCAATTAGGTAACAGCTTACAATGTGCAGCCCATGGTATTTTAAAATTTTAAATGAATAAAACAATCAAAAAATTCCATAAAATCAATCTTTTATTTTGTTATAATTACCTGTTACATAGGTAAAAGACTTAAATGATGAGATCATAACTGTTTATGGAATCTGACAAGTGAAAATGAAAAAAAATTGCTACAAAATGTTGGTCAAGATGGCATGGAAACATGCAAATTGTAAAATGGGTGTTAATAGAATGTGATTCATATGGAATTAAAGTGTATTAAATCAGGCATCGTCTCAAGCCACGGTCTGGAGTCCACATATAGTTCTCTCCTACCCATAGCTACTTGATCACAAAAAGTGTCGTAATCTATATTTATGCCTCTACGAGTATTGTGACGTCATTTTCAGCCAATGACAATTAATATTTGTTTCCATCGCAATTGATATCAACGATTGACACGAACAGTATACAAGAAATTTTTTGTATCCTTTGATTGGGTATTGAAAGGTCGCGTCAAAGTTCATTATCCGACTATGCTTTACTCACATTGGTCAATATTTTAATGAGGTACAAAATATTCTCTTCTCATTCAACCACAGCCAGAATGGGAGAGATCATACATTTTGGCCGTGGTTTGCAACAATGTAAATCAGGTAATTTAGTCTTTTTTAATCCAGAGGGCTTTTTTTTTAATGTTTTCTAATTTACTTTAGGTAATAAATCATCTGCTAATTTATATTTATCAATTATTTTTTTTATGGATCTAAGATAAGCAGCCATGCACAAATCAGTCAGCCTTTCCTCTGTTACTTGACAACATCACGGAATATACCAGTAGAGCAATTGCTATTCATAATGCCATGTTCACTGAATAATGTTTTTTATTCCTTAAACAACCAACTAGAAAAGAGATGAAGCAAGTACAAGGATGTATATATAGCAACAAGTACAGGGAGTGGCAAATGAGTTACATGTGGATATTCGTCAGTTGTTCTGAACATGATGTAATGTGACATGGTAGCTGTCTTTTCATCAGTTTGAAGGGTTTAGCTTGGCAAAAATAAAATACTGGCTATAGTTCTAGTTGCATAATCTGCCTAAAGCCTTTGGTTTGGGATGACGTGAGGATCAATTCATTCAGTAAAATGATATACATGTACATCTGTCGTCATTTATTGCTGCATTAAAATATTTCAACATGGACATACCTCCAAACTTCTTCCTTCTTTATCTACAAACTCCCAGCCACTGCTACTTGAGCTACTTTCAGCCATCATCAGATATCTGTAAAAGGTCAATTCTAGTATGTTATACATCACCAGTTCTTAGATACTTCTTGTTTTCTACCCTTCAGATAAATGACCTTTTCCAAGCAACAAGGCTCATGAGAGTCAAACAGGTGCTTATGCCCAGTTTCTGTGGTGCTAAGCAGATGAGAGTCGATGGGACGCCAGTCCATTACAGGTTAACCCCTTACATAAGCCGGTACCCATTGCATCTGGGTGGACTGAGAAAAATGCAGATAAAATGCTTTGTCTAAGGACACAACACCAAGTGCCCACAGTGGGGCTTGAACCATGCAGTGACCTTTGGGTTACTGGCCAAACCCTATGACCACAGAGCCATGAGCTCCACTTGAGCCACTTATACTTGCAAGTCACCAGTTTTTAGACCCTTCTTGTTTACTACCCTTAGCATGATAAAATTATCGAAGATCAATATTAACCCATTTTTAGCAAAAACAGATCAGACAGGTTCAATAGTCAGTGGCCAGATAGCTCAGTCGGAAGAGCGCCTGGCTAGATATTCTGTGGGGCCTGGGTTCGAATCTTTATATCTTGATCCATCGCATTTTTCTCCTCCACAGTTATACCAGTGAAGAGTAGGGCTGTCACGAGTACCCGAAATAACCGAGAACCACGGTACAAGTTGTTCGGTTCGGTTTCGGTTCCATTTTTCCGGATTTCGGTTCGGGGCTGGTTTATATATTAGAGTCTGTTCAATACAAAAATGGCGTCGAAATCAAAGGAATGATGGCGATAACAGTGATAAATAAACATTACAGTCAACTGAAATCTACTTCTTTCCATGACAAAACACTTGTCACGGAAGTATTAGATAATTATCAAAACGAGCAGGAATAGTCAGGTTGTGGCTAATTGTAGGTCAAGTAGTTCTACACACTGATGTCTAGACGTTCGCATGGTTAAGACTTGTTTTCAATGTAAATTTAATGTAACAAATAAAGATTTTTCAAGTTAAATTCATGAAATTAAGGTTTAAATAAGGTTTACACAGATGTGAATAACCGAACCGAAAAACCCGAAACCGAACCAAAAATTTACAGAACCGACCTGACCTGAAGAAATTTTGGAACCATGACAGCCCTAGTGAAGAGCCTGGGTTTGTCCATTTGTCATGCCCCCCTCCCAATTATTTTATCAGAGTATACTTTACTATAGAAAACAAAGCTACCCCCACCCCCGCAGGAGGGAAAAACTCTGTGGCCAGATGAGTTTTGCTGTAGGCCAGCTTGTTCAGTTGGCAGAGCATGGGATCTTATTACTGGTGTTTCAGAGGGCTCGGGTTGAAATCCCAGTCTGGTTCTCCTTGTCAGTTACATTAACAAACCCCAGAGTGTATAATTTAGGTCCTTCCTAAATCTTAGATAACATTGAGAGTGTTACACATAATATTTACAGATTGGCAACTGGGCTGACAAGTTTAACCAGCAGGACAAATTTGACCGACTGGCAGACAGACTGACAAACAGTACGGTTTCATATCAAAACAAATTAATATACAAATCCATCTCTACTTTTTATACACTGTTCATTAAGAAATTATAACATAAAAGAATTCTGCAAACTAACTTTCAATGTGTCTTTCATCAGACACATAAATGTTAACGTTACTTACATTTTATTCGATGTAACATCACTTACAAACTCATAAACGTGGAAAAAATAAGCTTATTAACAGAAACTTTACCTGGAGTATCAGTGTGTCATCTCATGTGTCGTTACCAACCATGCAACCTTCTTATTACAGTTGTAAGACAGCAAAATGTCCAAAATATTTATCAACAAATGTCACGTGACATATAGTTAGTTTCGCATTCCATCGTAAATATTGATTTCATGGGGAAATTCTGAAATTTAGAATGTCGATAATAATGTGCCTTGACGTCTCATAAATATAAAAAAAGTTTATTATTGTCTTAATATTTCAGTCCAACTCTTGCACAAAGTTTTGACTGAGGATTTCTCAAGCCAATCAAGTTTCGACCAATTTTACACTCGCCTCTTGGTTTCACCGAATGAGTTTTGCGCGGGAAATGTTCGATTAGGCCGTACAGCAGACCTTGCTTTAATAGGTCTATGATTTAGGTTTATGATTACACCATGTAAGAGTATTTTCGTGTGAACACATTTATCGATAAAGCAATGTAAACAACAACCAGTGAGCTTTACGAGCGTAGCTGCCTGGGTTGGTTGGCCTTGACCCCCCCTCCCCCAAAAAATGCCAGCGTATATATTACTATTAAAAAAAAAAAAAAAAAAAAAAAGACAAGCCAAAATTAATTTGTGTCCGGCCCCTTAATAGTTTTGTCAGTATATAATATACATATAAAGAAAACAATGATAATTTACATATGCATATATGTGTCCCCTCAAACATGTCTATAAATTTTTTCAGTTGCTTGATAGATTGTGCCCCCATCCTCTACCCCCCCCCCCTCCAAACTGAAATTGCTCGCTTCCCTCATGAAGCTCACTGGTGGTTGTTTACATTGCTGTATTGATAAAACTGCTGACTCCTGTGGTGTGAAAGACTTTAACACAAATTACACAAGGCCATCATTAAAAATATTTTTGTTTCCCCTAACCCGACCCTAAAATTTCAAGTTGGGTAGGTAGGTAGGTGAATTATTTATTTTTTTTTTTTTCTCACAGCAATTTTGAAAATACATTCTGAAAAATTGAATAATATCTTTATAAATAAGAAAGAACAAAAGAAACCGAATTTTTAACCGAATATCATACAAATGAAGCAACATGTATGGTAAATTATTCACAAATATTCAATTATTCATTTGAACTTGTGCAATATCTCAGGCCAGAGTAAATTTATTGAAATCGAATACATGTATTTTTAAAAAAGACAAGATTCACAAATACTCAACCATCGGACATCCCAGTATATTTTTCAAACCTACTATCATCTTCGAGTACTTACACAGATAAAATGTTAAGGGCCTCGCGTGGCGCAGTGATTCTATAGTGTTTCGTTTTGGAGTCACGACGTAATTCAGGAGCTCATTCTAAGTGACTCACAGATCCCTTCGTGGGACGTGGAAACTGGTCAGTCGAGTGAGACCGTAAAAAACGTAGGTCCAGTGTTGCAATATACATGTAGATGTTGACACGAAAAAGCTCCCTTACTGCAGTGACATTTTTTGAGATGCATACACAAGGTGGGCCCCTCATCTGCTCATGAGGCAGGCTTTGCCATGCTTGCTACGTACGCTAATTTGAGAAGACACATTTGTAAATACCATTTTAACACTCATTAGTCATGATGTATTTAATTCACGAAATGTTTCAAGAGTGTAGAATTCTAATAAGTTAACGATATCCACATGAATATAGGACTCTGGAGATGCAGGTCTTCGGGTAGTGGTGTACAGCTACTTCTCCAAGGCTAGTGGGGATATATACGTCCAGACGAGAAGTCTGGGAACCATGCACCTACATGTAGTTCGCCAGTGGGTTAATTCAAGGACAAGCTTTGTTGCGTGGAGAGGAAAGGGTTTGTGAACAGGGGGCTTCTCACTCATATTTAAAAAAAGAAAAAGAAATTAAAGATATTTAGTAGCAATAAAAAAAAATGACAAGAAATTATCATTTACAAATATTTTTTACTCCATTTTAAGGACATACGCAACGTACCTTACCTACTGATAATTTTTCAAGATATTCTTAATTCAAGATTATATAGTCCCAGATGTTCGTAGACAAAAAATCAACATGCATTACCAGGGGTTTTGAAAAAATATCGATTGATGAAAATTCTTGTATAATTCAAAGAAAAATATACAAAAAATTCTAAACATATATTCTAGATGTTTTGTTTATCCAAACTTGTTTTAGAAAAAGTGTTCAACAGCATATATAGACATTAAAATGCAGCACAGAGTTCCTTTAAGTATTGGAACTCTTCAACTCCAGGGAAAAAGACAATAAAGTTCTTGAAAACTACGTTGCGTATATGTCCTTAATAAAATATCAACTTAATGTTCCTTTCCTTATATTCTTCAAAAACATTGATGATCCAAGTCAACACTTCTGTGAATTAACAGAAGTGCTAACAAATGCCGTTTCGTCGATATATTTTGAGTTCTATAGTGAACTAAATTAAAGGTTTCTGATGCCTATCGGGCTTGAAATAGTCCTGGGGTACGGGGGGGGGGCTAGTTAGAATAATCTGTGTTTCGGAACAAGCCCTCACTATGGAGTATATAGGACAATGTCATTCTAACGTGCCCCCCTCTTAATATGCCAACATTGTTTATAATTATATAGAATAGAAAACAAAGGTAATTTACGATTGTGCTCCCTCAATGTTAACTGATGACCTTTTTTTGTTTTAATTATAATTATAATTTTATTTTTATAATTTGAATAATTATCTAACATGTTTTTTTTTAAATTATATTTCTTGCCTATACAATGTATATTTAAATTACACTGTTAAAAGAAATGAAATTTATCATCAATATCATGACATAAAGCACAGGTACTTGTTGACAGCCCCCCCCCCCCCCCCCCCGATATTCAACCCCGGGGCTTGGACATTTTTTTCACAAATTATATTTATTGCACTTATTCATCATGTGTATCATAGGAAAAAATCGTGAAAACCCCAAAATAATCGTTCCACACAAAAAATACCCCACTATACATTATAAGAGAGAAAGGTATGTCACTCCGGTTTGTTTACGTTGTACCCCCACTGGTCTTTCTGGGTTTAAAAACATGTTTTTGTTTTATTTTAATCTAAAATGTCGGTTCACACTGTCTCTATATATATTTCTGTCTTAGTTCATGCTATCGGATTGGCTCTGCATCTCGTAAGAATCCCACAATTAATCCTTAAACAGCATTGCAGTCAGTGCGTTGAAAAAATCCTTAGGTAAACGCAACGGAAGTGCATAGAGAATATATTACCTATTATGAAAACACCCGAGAGAAGATTATTACGTCAGGGCAAAACTCTCTCGGACGTTATCGTAATAAGTGATATCTTCTTCACCTTTTCTTTAAAATGTAATTAAATTGAATATAGGTATCGGGGTTACTTTTGGGCATGATTTCAAATTGAATTCCATGAAAAGCTTTATTTTCTACATTATATAACCGTAAAGTATGGCAAAAAGTAAATTCAACTCAAATCAATCATGACTTCATGATGGATCAAGGGAATTACATTCCTTCGTGGTTTTTCATCCCAACCCTCCTCATGCATAAGTTGTATATATTCGTATATGGCCCTGCAGTTTCTCGAATTTTGCATTAACAGATAAAATTAGAATTCTTTATAATTGATTGATTGATTGTATATTGTTTTACGTGCCATTCGAGAATTTTTCACTCATATAGAGACGTTACCATAAACCCGTGAAGGGCTTCAACTTTAGCTGCAGAACTGTAGCGTTATGGTATTATATATTAGTCTTTGACCATAACGATGCCATGTTTCCCTCTAGATCTGCGCATGCTACCTATGTCTTGACGCGGCGAGGCGAACGAGAATCGAATCCGAGCCTCCCCGAAGTGAACGCCCTACCACTAGGCGACCGGTAGAATTCTTTATGATGAAAACTGGGACCATGCAGCTGATATTTTATTGTAGTAGTAGTTTAAAAAAGCATAAGAAATAAGACCTTCTGCAGGTAAAAAAAAAATATATATATACTGATTTCATTGTTATATTGTAATTCCTTGGGTATATTTAGAGTAAACTAATCGATAATAGATAACCAGTAACTAGCATAAGGATGTATCTCTAAATCAGCCAATCAGTTTAATTACTACAACATTTCTTATAATCTGATATGCGTTTGCCAAAAGTCTGAGCTCGATCCCCTTCAACTTGTTTGTTAACACTTCTCTCCAAGATTCATTGTTTCTAATATCAGTGAGTGAAGGGTAATATATTCTGACAGCCCATTTTTGGAAAATAAAGGATTGACAGCGAGTTTAACAGTTATATATTCTTGCGAATAATCGGATAATAGTTCTAAATGAATACATTGGTGTAACGAGATGAATTTATACATATATGACCTTGAATTTATTTTGATTAGGTATGAAGAGGTGCCACCGATAATATTTTTATTGTCAAAAACTTGTTTGATTTTTTTTAATCTTTGTAGTGGCGCTCTCGGAATTTGTTTTTCCGGTACTCTCTATTTTAATCCGCGATTTTAAAAATATAAACCGAGCCCTATTATTTATCAAAAATGTACGGAGGCTTGTAAGGGCTGCGGCAACAGATTTTATAAATTAATAATTAACCTGATATTACAGGTTAATAATTCACAAATTACTAATAGAGGGCGGAGCCCTCTCACGGGCCCGAAGGGCCCGTGAGAGCGAAGCTCTCCCTATAGGTAACACGTATGTATGTAAAATATACTGAATTCTATTGTAAACTATATTTTTATTACAATACCTATGGAACTGAGAACCTTGTCGCCAATATGGCGTCCATAGTCTTTTCCATCTTGAATCTCGCGACAAATTCCCGCATAAACGAGATGCTGGAGAATCGTAATTTTACTTCCAATCCTGCGTTTATGAAGTTTTATAAATTCTAATAATCAAAAACACCCTTATAGTACACATCCTTGTTACTTTCGTTTTCATCTAGGCCCAGCCTAACTTGCACTCGATCGTACGTCATAGACCTGACATGTGACGTCATTCATTGACTGCATGAATCAGCGGAAACTGTTGAATTTTTAACAACCTGTAATAATTGATATTTCATATGCGTACTCTCTTTTTAAAAACAAATTTATTCACCTTTTAATAAATCTTAATATGTTTTTGGTGAAGCAAAAAACAGTTTAACGAATTCCAGTGATGTCACTGTCTAGACTGCGTACTACGTACATGTACTATGGAGGGGCGGATCTTTCTGTGGCCCCTTCCACCAGACTTTAGGGAAAAGAAACAACTCTAATTTACTTGTAAATAAAATTTATTAATTACGAATTTCTTTAGGATTATTTTCAATACACAAACTAGAAATAAAAGATATTTTGTGACTTGGTATAATTTTCCTCTTGAATAATACATTTTAAAAATGTTTCAGTGGTAAAATATTGCATGAAAAGCTTTACTGAATTCTGGTATGAACTCAAGAAGGGGGGAAGGGGTATGCATTTTATTTTTTTTTTCATTTTTCATTAATTAATTAATTAATTCATTCATTCATTCTTGTCTTTGATTACCTGCTTGTTCCTATATACATTTGCAGGTGGAGGCCTGTGTCTATCTGTTGTTGTGAATTTTTTTTCTCAAAAGTTTTATCATTTTTTTTAAGTGTCAAATTTAGTTTCGTGAAGTTCCCTATCAAAAGAAGAATCTTTGGACCTGTCTGAAGCTTAAACTACCACATCAAACATATGTTCCATTTATGGATACGCTTCAAATGATAAAAGAAAATGATTTCTAATTTTTATTTTTTTTATTAATTATGTGGTGAATAGGGATGTCACAGAACATTGATACTTCCCAGAAATGTACCCTATTATTCACAAGTTTTGGTTTTAAAATTCTAATAGTTTTCGCATAAACAATTTAATATCTGTAAAAAAAAAATCCTTTTATTGAGTTAAATTTGTTTTTTCCAGAAAAGATTTTTATCTTGCTTTTATGTTAGTTTTTAGAAAGCACTAAACACTATTCGAATCGGATTAGTTTTTTAAAATGCAGAAACGTTAAATTTACTCTACATTTTTTCCATTAAAATTAAGAAAATAATTCTCAGAAATTTTGCGATGCTGATACTTTTAGCCCTCACGATACACAGCCCTAGTGTTGGTCAGATGATCAGTTTCCAAGAGTCCTGATAACCCAGGAGTTAGATCATCTCTCTGTAGTTTGGGTCCCAAGTTCGACTTCCGATGTATTCCCTGAAAATTGTCCTTATTTGTATTTGTTGTCATGACCATGCATTGGAAGTAAAAGATGAGAATTAAATGACTTGATTTTTCTGGATTGGGATTTTTAAATTAAGTCGTGAAAGATAAAGAAATGTTGCTCAGGCATATTCGTTTATTAATATTGTTGGACAGATACATAGGTGAAAGAGTTAATGTTTAAGAGTTCTTGGGCTTTGGTAGGTTGAATCCTTGACTGGTCCAGTGCACGCTCTTTCCACGTTATGCTACTTGATTTTGAGTGCTCTGGCTATAGGCAATCCATGATGAAATAACTTAGAAAAAGTATTCCAGATTTATAAAACTAAATACCCTTAAATTTCTTTATTTGAAATGAAAAATATTTGAGGTAAGAGAACTTAAAGCTTTTTTTTTAAAGACTGAGGTCTTTTTTATGATTTTCTGACACTAACTAAACACCATGCATACAATTTGATTTTTAACACTGACTTATCATTAAACAATAAAATGTAGAAATATTCACTTGATGGCTCCGCCCTCACCAACGGTCACACCGTCTAACATATTAATTTATAATAATTGCATTTTTTTAAATTAAATTTCAAATAATTGTAAATTTCAAAATGTAAAGAAGTATCGGTGCAGTTATCGTGGAAGATTCCGTAAAGATCAATTTGATCACAAAATTGAATCCCAAATTTAATTGAATGGAATATATTGAAATAATTTCAAATTATATACATGACATAGATATATTTTACGAGTATGATCATACTAGTTGAGTTACTATACAGAATATCTAATTTTAGATCGATTTAAATAGATTTCTGTATGCCTAATGCCCGATCTAGATATCATGCATAGTTTAATTTAAATATACCTATATGTTTCATGTTTCATCATGCATTTTTTTAATTGAACAGAACAACAGGTGATTGTATATTGAATGAATGGTAAAACTCCAATGCACATCGCATAACGGGTGATTGTATATTGAATAAATGGTAAAACTCCGAGGTACATCGAATAAATGGAAATGCTTTCAAAGAAAAAGAAGAAAAGTTTAAAACATATTTGTTTCACTAACAATAAGCCGTAATTTTTAAAGGTAACACTCAGAAAAGAATATATAAAATGTTTTTAAAAAATATTTTATTAACTGCACACTTCGGGTTGCTACAAGCTAAAACATGAATTGGCCAATCAAAAAGTTGTATATTTTAAAATTTATCCAATCAATGAACAGCGGTAAGAATTTGAAGACCTCCGCAGTGAATATGGTGAGAACAAGCATCAGTATGTTGTGAAAACAGGCAGGCACTTACAGGCATCATATGCAGTGGTTTCACAATAAAAAGAATTTGAAAGATATTTACATGCTCAAAAAGACACAATGGCTTTAACAAATAGACCACAGACGGTAAGAGTTTCAGCTAAACTTGAATTTTGTGGTTGTAAACAATCCAGGACTTGTTCGACCTGGAGCACGAAATTCCCGGGCGCTTTGTCAGCAAAGATAAATATGATGTATAGAATCTGTTTGTTTTATGTGTCTGTTTGTTCTATAAAATATGGACTCAATGATACATAATTTGAAGCATGCAATTGAAATGGTGTTTTTGTGGATAAAAATCCAAGCACAGCAGGAATAGACATGTTTGCCTATAGGGTACAGTATACAACATAATATTTTTACGGTATACCGTATACAACATAATGTGCATAATGTAATAGAAAATAATGCATTGTTGTAGTCCTTAAAATTCCTGCAATGATCATTGTTTTTCCTTTTTTTAAAAATTTTATTTAAAAATAAAAATCTAACTGCAACAGATTTTTAGATAATGACACAAAAATGTGAAGTGAATTGACTGTTCTGAAACGGGGTACTGTCTAAAGCAAAAAGCAAAAGCAAAAATTGACTGAAATCTTTATTGCGACAAAGCAGAATTGTTTGACTTCTTCAAAAATATGTTAAGTCTTATTATTATTTTTTATATTGGTGGGGAGATGGGGATTCATGAATATAATCACCTAAGTACTTGGTCGTTAGCTCACTAAGAATTGTTGATAATTTCAGGCACGTCCACAACTTGGCAGCACACATGTTCTCATCAACAAGGAAAATCCAGATGGAGGATTACTTGCCAAAACGGAACTTCATCGACCTTCATCTCATATGGGAACAAGATCAGCCCTTGGAACAATTGAAAACATTGGACACAAAGTCTCTGCAATTACGATAGACCCTAGTAAAAAGACAAATGCAATCAAGAAAGAGATCATACAGCAGCAACAGATAGTGACCAGACAGAAAATAGTCAAATCTAAAGCTACTTCTTCCCTAAAAGAACTTGTAGAAACAGAAACAAAAACTGTAAGTTGTATTTGCTAAGATGAGAAATACAATTTTCTGATTGGCAAATTATTCTTATCTTGGCATTTTGAATCGCTGTACTTTTTTCATAAAGTTATTTCTTGATATTTACAATCATGAGTAATAAAATAAAATTATGCCATGAAACTACATTAAGTTTGTGAAATACATTGCAAAATGTTTTTTAAATGGTATTTTACAGGAAGCATCCATAGAAGCAGTGAAAAATGTTTCTAAACCAGACATATTACTGGGACCTCCCGAGTCTATGGACATCAGTGAAGATAAACCTGAGGCATTCTCAAAAGCTTTATTAAAAGTGGAAGATATTGATGAGAATGACAAAGATAACCCACAACTTGTTAGTGAATATGTCAATGACATTTACCAGTACATGTTGGAGTTGGAGGTTAGATTTTAATCAGTTGCAATATGTATTTTACAACCACAGGCACTTGTTTCTGTAATTGCTTTTTTACCCAATAATAAAATAATAACATAAAGTATCTAACTCTGAATTACATGGAGTACCCTTCTACCTACTCCTACAAGTAAGAGCTTCAGTTAAGGTCCCTACACTCTTTGTATATCTAGGAGTCTTGTATCCGAAGACCATTTTTTTATTTGAGCTAGTTCCCACTGAAATTTGGTCGGAACATTATGAGTGAAATAAACTGTAAATGAGTAATTTTCAGGTACTTTCTTATTTGCATGAGGTATAAGCGTCAACAAAAATAATAAAATCCACTTGAGTCAGTATGCATTAGTGTTCATTAATCAAAATCTTCATTATTTAAACTTGCAACCAGAATTTGTTTAGATTTGACATCACATTAATTTTGCAAGCTTTAAAAAAAAAGTGTTGCATCAGCAAGTAATTTTAAATAGGAATAGCAGGGTTGTGGTTAACTTTTGAAACCTTAGGGGCCATGTGGGCTCCTAACTTTTCAAATTTTACGGGCCCACAATGTGATCCACGGGCCCACATTATATGTAAATTAAAAATAAGAACACAAAAATCCTAATGTTTTTTTTCGTAGTATCTATATGTTCACAGAATATGGATTATTGTCACGTTTTCTCTTTTCTAAAAACTTTGATCCGATGATATGTTCATTACATTTTGTAGTATTTAACCTTAACTTGTACAACTGAAGCGTCTATGGTTTAACAAGGGGCATATTAAATAATAAATTACAACCTGTGATTAAGTTTGATCCCGATCTTGTATTGTGTGCATTTGACATGGTAATTCAAATTCTATCTGTGAATAACTAGTCGAATGGCGAGTGTGACAACCATAGCCGATTGTTACAATATTTCTATTAGAACAATCTCAAACATTTGCTTTCGTATCATCAGATTTAACGGAGATTTAACCGCTTCGATAAATCGCAATTTTTTTATCTCAGTCACGTACTTGTACATGTTTGAGTAATATGCTTGTACGCAACACAAACAATCTAAGTTAGTAGAGCGTTTTCTTAAAAAACTGAAAGTACATAAAATAAAACTGAAATGTGATTATGTTCCGGTAAAAAAATCATTCGCCATGTGGGCGACCAGATTTTTAATATCCAGTCGCCCACCTCAAATCTTACTCACATTTGCGAGTGGGCGAGTGGTTATCCACAACCCTGGAATAGACACATGACATAATTTTGTTTTGTGGATTTAAAAATGGATTATTAAAAATCCAGGCTTTGCCATGTACAATTGATACACAAAAATATATGAATTTGACTTTTGACTTCACAGTTCACAATGTATTGAATGCTAATATAAAAAATAACTGTTTTAATTAAATGTAAGTTTTATTGTAAAAATGAGTATTTAATTGTTTCCATGTCACTTGTACATGGCAATGCCTTGATTTTTCGATAATTCATTCTCACTTTGGCAGTTTCAGCAGCGAGATACTTTTGACTTGGCGCCACCTCACCTCTAGCATACTGGGGTACCCCCTCCCAATAATTACAGTCATTTTATGCTTCTAGAGAAAATGCACTGGCAAATTATTTATTATCATTCTCTTCAACAATAATTTATCTTCTTTAATCTGTAAATAGCATCCAAACTCTGCTTGCCGACTGGGAAAATCATTTCGCACCACATAAGTGCTATGCACTAATCTCTGGCAGTATATCTAATTGGATTTTGATTGGCTAAAAGACTGTTTCTAAAATTACATCAGACAAATGTATTTTAGAAAAATAAAATGTTAAAAAAAAATCAAATTTATTAACTGCAGTATTTAAACATTAGGATTGGATTTTCAAGCCCACTGACTTATGCTTTCTGACTGAGATTAGTACATAGCACTTTGTGGTATGAAACAAATTTTCCAGTCATCTTGTAGAGTTTGGATACTGTTTACAGAGATAAAAAGAAATAAAGATGGGCTTTCTTTAGTATGAAAGATATTCAATTTTGTATTTTTCAGCAAAAGTTTCCAGTCAGGCCTAAATTCCTCGAGGGTTATGAGATAACTGGTAAAATGCGTGCCATTTTGATTGACTGGTTGTGTCAGGTTCACCACAGATTCCACTTGTTGCAAGAAACTCTCTACTTGACTGTATCCATCATCGACAGATTTTTACAAGTATGTCATTGCATGAAGACAGTAATGAGGTTTTTTTTTAAGACTTCACCCTTTTTTCTTGTGATTATTTTAAAATTCACTTAACAAATAAACAAACAAAAACTGTTTCACATGAATTTAATATGAATTACAATGGAAGGTGCTGTGATAGTCCATGAAAACTTGCACATGAACTAAAGGTTAAAAATATATTTTAGTTTTCTCAGTATATATATTTTTTAAATATATATATTTTTTGTAATTGTAAAACTTGAGCAAAAAGGAGATGGGCAAACATAGCGTGCAGAAAGCCTATAGCTTCAGATATATAAAAATCATGTTCATTTTGTGAATTTAGTATTTAGAGTAAAGTTCTCATTATTGAAATTTATAAAATTATGATAAACAAAACTTTTCTGAGGAAAATTTTCTCAGCAAAATTGATTCTTTTATTTAAAAATAATGTGGTATTTGTGGGGCTCGAACCCTACCAGTAAAAATCCTGAGGATCATTTTCTTTCAAGACTAGCACGCTATCCACTAGACTACACAAGTCCTGATGAATAGTGGCATTTAAATCATGTTTGTGATATGACCCTTGACTTAAGGATACACCAAAGGCTTTTTTCAAGATTTTCAACAATTTTGAGATTTTTGGCTAAGAAAAAGAAGTTAATCACTGCTTTATAATGCATGTAAAATTCTTGGTAATTATGAAATGGTTTTCTAATTATTTAACAATAATGAAACATAAACACTACCACATGTGAATGTTCCGTTATTGAAGCTTCTGATTTGATCTGTGACTGCCTGCTCATGAAAGACGCAATAAATCACTGTGACCACTTGGGGAATTCTTCACTAGCCACAAAGAGATTATCAGTAATTAAACTACAGGGACTCTAGATTTAGAGAAGGAGATCTAACAGATCACTGATGACCATAAAATAGGAGGTGGAGCTTAGCTCTTGCCATTTTGCCGGGAAATCTTTCTGATTCAGAATTGAACCTATTTTACTTAATTAAAAGCATCTAAATACAGAAAAGAACCTCCCATTCTTGTGAATATGCATAGGAAATATGGCTAAGTGACAGGTATCCAAAGCTGAATCTCCAAGGTGTCATATATTCCTAGCTTTGGCAGATTTTGTTGTGTAATGGGTTTTTGCCCTCTACTGTAAAGTAAGATCAGACAGTTTGTGGTATTATTTCAAAGGATTCAGCTCCCTCATTTATTGACCAATTTCTCTGAAAATTGGATGGGCTTCTTCTCAAATGTGTGTTCACAAAACCGTATCTCAGATTTTTGATATCTAGCTTAGTTTTGGAATTATTGAGGGAAATGTTAAATTAGGCTAATAAATTGGTAACATTGAAGGGCAAATGGCTGTAACTTTTGAATTAGAAGATTTATCAAAAATCTGAGATACAGTTTTTAAGTTCAATCTTTAATCTACCTTGAGGCAAAATGACCACTTTGAGGGGTTAAATACAAAAAAGTTGATTTATAAAATATTTAAGCACTAAAATTTACATTAATATTTAAATAATTTTTAAATAAGTTATTAATTAAAGTTTAAATTAGGATAATTAAATAGTAAATTTAACAAGCTTTCAAATGATATATACTTTTATTATGTTATCTTTGATAATGAAAGAATTACATGCAAATTAAATTCTAGCATTTGGAAACCTTTGGTGTATCCTTAATGTACTTCAAGTATTTCTCGAAAAGATGCGAATGTTATAAAAGTATATTTTTAAGGTATAGTGGGTTTTTGCTCCATATTTTTGTTAACCAAAAAATGTTTATTTTTATGCAAACTATGAAGATCAACTTTTAAAAAAAAATGGTGCGAAGACCCACTCATATCGAAAAATGGTGTTATAGTATGAGAAAATGACTCTTTTTGGCCTCTTTAGTGTGTGTATAATATTTCATAAGCAAATAATTTCAATCTTTGTGAGATTTTTGCCAATTGTAGAAATTTTACATAAAGTATATTTTAATGTTAGATGAAATATCAAGGAAAATTTTGATATAATTGAGATTTAATTTTTCACCTTCATGTTTGTCACACTAGGCTTTTTGCTCGTCATGTTCACCCATCTTCTTTGATTTATATTTTTAGATTCACCAAGTGCCACGTAACAAGCTTCAGTTAGTTGGTGTGACTTCCATGCTGATTGCATCCAAGTATGAGGAGATGTATGCCCCAGAGGTAGCCGATTTTGTCTACATCACAGACAACGCCTACCAGAAAAAAGATATTCGGGAAATGGAGGCTCTTATCCTCAAAACTCTGGACTTCAGCATGGGAAAACCTCTCTGTTTACATTTCCTCAGACGCAACTCTAAAGCAGGAGGGGTAAGACTTCTAACATTATCAGCAGAAATGGTAGACTCAAGTCAAAAAGAATCTTGAAAAACCTTCCGAGAAATGTACAGTGAGAGTCTTAACAGATAAAATGAAAGGAAATAAAGCTGTTTTCCAATTTTCATAAAATCTTTTTTTGATAGGTTGATGCCAGCAAACACACATTGGCCAAGTATTTGATGGAACTTACAATCATTGAGTATGATATGGTGCAATACTACCCCTCACAAATTGCAGCTGCTGCCCTTTGTCTTTCAATGAAATTATTAGATGGATCAAAATGGGTAAGCAACTCTTAAGTGAAAAGAAAATTCCATTAAAACAACAGTGTTGCCATAAATATTAAATATTTTCAGTGCTTTTTATAGAAATTTTTTTTTTTTTAGATATTGGTGATTCATTAAGATAAGAAATAAGCCTTCAATCTAACACTTTATTCTACAGTAAAAACATAAATATTTGATGACAAACTTTGTGACATCAAAATGTTAACATTTATTGTTTATTTACAGACTGACACATTAAGTCACTACAGTTCCTATTCAGAGAAGGATCTTTCACCATTAATGCAAAAGTTGTGTAGTCTAGTCATAAAAGCAGAAACCTACAAATTAACGGTGAGTAGCATTATAGTACATTGGAGTTAATCTTCCTTCCCTCATTCAGGCATCTGTCAAGTTATGTTAAATAATCAGATTTTATTCATACTAAATGACATCTACTATGCAATCTCTGCAAATATGGAAAAGGTAGATATTTGAACATCATACCTAATTCTAACAGAACTTTATTAATAGCAATGTACATGTTTGACAATGTTCAATAATGTTGTTAGTAAATGATCATTATTTTTCTATTTCCAGGCTGTTAGAACAAAATATGCCTCATCAAAATTTATGAAAATCAGCACGTGCTCGGAACTTAAAGGACAAGTGGTTAAAGACATGGCTAATCAATCTGAATAAATTATAAACATTCCCTTGGAATTTTAAAATCAGGCTGTGATGTGTGTATTGTCAGGAGTGGAGTTTTCAGGGAGGATCAAATTTGTGGGGATTCTGAGTTGTGGATGCTGCTAGTTTCATTGTACCAAATTTGTTCTGCTTGTAGAGTTTGTTTTTCATACTTTTTGTTGGTACCAGAAAAAAATTCTTTCTCCCGTAATATGAATTTTTATGCACAATTTTTTTATTCTATAATTTAATCAATAATTTATAAAACTAATTTTTTAGATACAATTTTAGCTTTTACGTTCTCATTTGGTATAATATAACAGTAAATAAAAATATGAATAATTCTATTAGATTTAAGTCATCCATAAGAAAGACGTATTTGGTTAGGTTTGTGATCTATCAAAAGAAAAACTTTCATACACAAATATATAACCCATTGTCTCAGTAATATTCCAATTCATATCTCAATTCAGAATGTTTCATGGGAAGGGGGGAGGGTGTAAAAATATATCATTTGTCACAATGTTCTGTTGGGTTTTTTGGTTAGATATTGAAATCGCCTCACAAATATGAAGTCACCCATTAGAATATTTTGTAGGTTCCTAGAAACATGCAACAGTTCTTCATTCAGAATTCATTATTTATTCAGTATTGTGTGAATGATTTGTGAATGAAAGTGTATAGAAAACTCTAATAAATCATGATATTAATGTTGGAAAAACAAGGGAAGGACATTGCTTTTCACTTTTGACTTCATTTTTTTTTCTTTTTTTCTGTACATTTCACTTGTGTAAAATCCCCTTGTTTTTCTGACAGGAAACTTCTTTTATGTAGGTGCTGAAATGTTTGGATCATGGGTAGTATCATAGAATTCCAACATTTTTTTTTTTAAATCTAATATCTAGGGAAAATGAAATGATAAACTGGGAAGCTTAACAGATGATGCATTCATTTTTAAAGATATCAATCTTGTTGAAACTGTTTAAGGACACTTGCTGAAGCTGTGTAAGTTAAACATTGACCTATATGGATATTTTTAACCTTACGATGTTTGCATTTGAAATTAATATTTATCTTATGTAGCCATTTGCAGCATTTGATATATTCAGCAGGTGTCTTTTCATTTTTACATGGCTATTGATGATTTTGATACTTTTTATTTTATTCATGTATTTGTATGTGTAGAGGAAATAAAAAATAAAACTAATTGCTTGATTTTTTTTTCTCTACTGGATGCTAATATGCAAGTATTAGGTATCATTTTTGTTTTGCTTATTGACATATTCGGTTTGGTCTCGTAACTTTTGAAAAGATATGTACTGCCTTGTAAACTCTGATCCTCTATTGTAGCTACATCCTAATCTCATCCTGATCTGAACAAACCTAAACTAAGAATCTAAACTACCTGATAATTGCATATTAATATAATAATTCGAAGATTTTTCCTATGTAAAACTTTGATCCAATTTACCCCCACTCCCCTCCCACCCACAGGGGTCATGATTTTCACAAACTTGTATCTATACTTTATGAAGATGCTTCCATATTTATATCATTAACCATTGCTTCCCTATTCTTGAGGTTTTTAGCTAACCTGAGTCAAAAGATCAAGTGAGCTTTTCTGATCACCTGTTTTCCATCATTTGTCTGTCCATCCATCTGTAAACTTTTCACATTTTCAACTTCTTAAGAACCACAGGGCCAATTCAAACCAAAGTTGGTACAGAGCATCCTTGGTTAAGGATGGTTTAAATTTTTAAAATGAAGGGCCAACCCCCCTTACAAGGGGAGATAATCAAGAAAAGACAAAAGTAGGGCTGGGTCATTAAAAAAAGTCTTCCCAAGAACCACTCGGCCAGAAAAGCTGAAACTTATGTGGAAGCATCCTGGGTCATGTAAATTCTAAATTGTTCAAATCATGCCCCCCTGGGATAGGGTGGGGCCACTTTAGGGAATCAAAGTTTTACATTGAAATATGTAGGAAAAATCTCAAGATCCACTGGGCCAGAAAAGCTGAAACTTATGTGGAAGAACCCTGGGATAGTGTAAACTCTGTATTGTTCAATTCATGGCCCCCCGGGGTAGGGTGGGGCCAAAACAGGGAATCAAAGTTTTACTTAAGGAATTACATGTAATTTGATAGCTACCCAATTTATACGGTATAAACTGGGTTGGGGCAGTTTACGCTTTATAAACCGCGGTAGCTATCAATTTCATTCCTTGTAATTTAATTTAATTTTCATTCATTTAGTTTTAGAAAAAAAGATTATTGCCCTTAAAAAATGACTTCAAATTGTACAAAATTTAAATGTAACGTCAGGCGGATCGATACTTTTTTGACGCAAGTCATTGTGGCAGAGGCAACCTAATTTATACGATATAAAGTAAATTTTTTATCCAATCAAATGGCGCGTTACAATCAGAATTAAATTATATTGAAATATATAGGAAAACCCTTTTTAAAAACTTCTTAAGAACCACTGAGCCAGCAAAGCTGAAGCTTATGTGGAAGCATCCTGAGGTATTGTAGATTTTAGACGCCAGAATTATCAGCCCAGGTGAGCTAAAAATTATTTTAGGTAAATGTTCCAGTTTTCGACTTTAGCTTCATCCGTCGGTTCGAGACCGGCAAATATATTTGTGAGGTTCGATCAATTTAATTTATTCAGTCCTTTGTGAAAAATAAGGTTCGATTAAAGGTAAAAATGATGATTTTAACAAAAATACAAAATCTATCTGTACGATTGTCTCAATTTTCACGATTTGTTCTTTCTGTTCACTTGTATAACAAGAAGCCCATGGGCCAACTTAGTCAAAATGGCCTTGTTCTTTTCCTATATATTCCTCTATAAAACTTTGATCATTGTGGCCCCACCCTACCCCAGGGGTCATGATTTGATCAAACTTGAATCTACACTACCTGGGGATGCTTCCATATCAATATGACTAATCATGGCATTGCTGTTCTTGAGAAGTTAATTTCAACGATTTTTTTTCCCTATTTATTCCCGTGTAAAACTTTTATCCCCTATTATGGCCACACCCTTCCCCGGGGATCATGGTTTGAACAAAAATTGAATCTAAACTGCAAGATTTTTAAAAGAATTTTCCTATGTATTCCTATATAAAACAACGTCAGGGGTCCTGCACTCGTGGACATGGGACCCCTAACAAACTTCATACGATATTTTGCGGGCTTACTGTGGTAAGTCTTTATGTGAATATTAATTACAAATCTTGATTGTTTTTCTCATTTCTGGTGCAGGACATACGTGTAATGTAAAACCCTTGTGAGTTTGCTTAAAATTACGGTACATTCTGTATACGTATTTCCAGCAAAAAAAGTATTAAGAAAGAGGCTGTACACACTAAATACACTAATCCGAAATATCTGACGTTTTCCACGCTTCGTAATGAGAGAAGCACGCCCGTAAAATAGCAAATAAAGTTTGTCAGGGGTTCCAGGTCCACGAGTAGACTCAGAAGCCCCTGACGTAGGAAGGATGCAGTGGGGTTATCTCGCTTATTGGAAGTCGATGAACCTTAAGCTATTTTTGGTAAGATCGCTGTCATCGGGATATACATGCAATGTAATATGTAAAACAAATAGAAACACTTGTGAGTCTGCTTAAAATTACGGTAAACTCTGTATAGTTTTTAGCGAAAAAGTATCAAGAAAGGAGGGTGTACACACTAAATACACTAGTCCGAAATATCTGACATTTTCCAGGCGTTTTTATTCGATTTTGATATTTGACGTACCAGGAACATGTCAGAATCGGCGCCATTATGAAATATGAGTAATCATTGATCTGAAGCCCGCATTAATTCAATTATTGCTCTCATAAATTCAATTGTTGCGCGCAACAATTCATTTGATGTGCACCTCAATTCAATTGTTGAACTCAACGATATTGTGGAATTATTGCTCGCAAAAATTAATTTAGACATCGGTATACATAATGTGTTGATAGTTGTAGTTCAATTAAACCATATCTAAATATTTAACAACGATTTTGTCAGAGGAATTAGTGCGTGCATCAATTCTTTGAATTCAATTAAATTAAATAGCTGACTCTTTCTTAAAAAAAAAAATTTGCTCCGCGCATAATTGAAAAAAAAACGATATCATTAACTCAACTGAAGAGAGCAATGATTCAATTTTTGCGCGCATTAATTGAATTGACAGGCGAGATAATGGAATTGAAGAGAGCAATAAATCGACTATTCTGCACATTAATTGAATTATTGCTCCCTTCTATTGAACCATTCTGTGCATCAATTCCATTGTTGATAGAAATTTATTTACAATATCACATTGTAACTCATCTATGAAATATGAAAATAACGAACAATAATCAAGCTCAAAAGTCCATTGAAACAGTACAAATTGGGAGCAGAGCTAACACGGACCTCTAAAACACCAGAGGTGGGACCAGGTGCCATGGAGGAGTAAGCATCCTGTGTCGACCGGTCACAACCGCCGTGTGCTCCTTCGGATGACTTGTGTATACAATCAGAATGTTAAGGACATACGCAAAGTACCTTACCCACTGATAATTTTTCAAGATATTCTTAATTTAATATTATAGTGCCATCAGATATTCATAGACAAAAAATCAGCATGCATTACCAGAGTTTTTGAAAAGATATCAATTGATGAAAATTCTTGTATAATTCAAAGAAAAATATACAAAAATTATTGAACATATATTCTAGATGTTTTGTTTATCCAAACTTGATTTAGAAGAAGTGTACAACATCATATATAGACATTTAAATGTAGCACACTGTTCCTTTAAGTATCGAAACTCTTCAACTCCAGGGAAAAGGACAATAAAGTTCAAACTACGTTGCGTATGTCCTTTAGTGTAAACACATTTTATCTGCATAATAATGCGAGTAGTAATTTCAATTGCAGGATCAAGCTCAAAATTCGGTGAAAATGAACCCTCAAATCATTTTCAAATGTTACACCGAAAGTTGAAATATTATAATTAGGCCATTCCATTTTTTTCTCCGTTTAGCGTCATATTATCATTCATAAAAAATAATAAAAAAGTGTATAGTTTTCTTTTATTGTCTTTATCTCGAGGAAAGGATTAGTTGGATGTAAAATAATAGTAGTATATGTATAGATTAAATTCTCCGGATCGTTCAGTTTGATTTGTTGGGATGTTCAAATGACGGTGCTTAACATAGAGAAATTTGAAATGGCGTTAAATGCCATGTATGAATTCGGTTTATAAACATCCGCATAATCCACCTGAGAGATGAAAACATGCATTCCTGAATAAATTACTTCACTTTGTCCCTTTCTCTCTTGCCTCAACCGTAATCCGGCTGTATAGATTTCCGATTTCGATGTTGGGGCAGTGACACCACTTTATGGTAAATGCACCGTTGTACAATTACCTTCGTTTATTCCCGTATTTCAGTCAAGAACAGAGGAAATATTATGCTTCACTATCACAGATTAACATAGTCTTTTTTTTATTATTTTTACATCGCCTGGATCAACATTACAGTTTCCTGTTCGATGTCGATCTGTTCACGAACTCAGGCATCAACAAGAAGACCCATCAAAATGCATATTGTCACAAAAGCAGTGTATTCTGTTTTATCGAAAATACTTGTACTTCGACTATTCCCTCGCAATAATAGCAATTGACACGTATACACGTGCGAGCTTCCATAACAATACATACCATTTGTTAGTCTATCGCTGGCTGTCAGAGGAAGTCAAAAGACGATAATATTTTGAAGATTACCTGTCCTATCCAAAATATGCTAGAAAAATGCTAGATGAACAGAAGACACCAAGGGCTGAAGGTCAGCTCAGTAGTAGATGTTTTTTAATTGTTTGTTGTTTAACGCCCTTTCGAGAATTGTTAACTCATATGGAGACGCCACCATTTACTGGTGGAGGGCTGCAAATTTGGACTTATACTCGCACTCAGGGGCATAGAGCAGTGAGGGATCTTTTTCGTCCTAGTACCTACTGCGACACGGGACCTCGGTTTATAAATACGGTTTGCTCCGAAGGACCAGTCTCCACGTCCCATAGTGGGATTCGAACCCGTGACGTAAGGATCAACTCCTTACGTTGTGACTTTAGAGCAGAAAGACGGACAAACAGACGGACATGGTGATTCCAATATACCCCCCTAAACTTCGTTTGCGGGGGGTATAATAATATACATGTACATGTAGAAGCAGTTCCGCTTATTTAATTCATCATATCCAATGCGCCAAGTAAATTTATTGATAATATTAGATACATTCCATTTAAATCTGGTAGCAGGCTAAATACTGAGAAAGAATTTCAGTGGAGGGGGGGGGGGGCTCCTTTCATATCCCCTAGATCTGCGCATGCAAGGTTTGTGTTACTTTTGCATAAGAAATTAACGTTTCCAGAATAAATTTCGCCTTCCCCCAAGAATAAATTTCTTCCCCCTTCTCATTTTCCCGAAAGAATTAAGTTACTGATACGGTTTTAGTTCTTGCATTTCATAAGCCAGAAATGCCTGTCACTTGGAGAGAGAGAGAGAGAGTGAGTCAAACTTAATGACACTGAATGAATGACCTTAGGGTGGCTGTTTATTTTTAAGGTGTTGAAAAAGACATGGAAATTTGTAACTCTTGGCAAACCAAATCAGAATGACCTCTAGCGAACATTTCTCGCGCAAAAGCCAGGTCTCTTATCTCGGCTGCAGATTTCTTCTTTATTTATCCATGCATAATAAATTGGGTTGTATTTAATTCAAGAAAATTCTTCGTTCTATCTTGTGTACGACTGACGCATGGAATGTCAGCGAAAATCAAATAAAATCTTTAAATTATAATAAAGTTTGACCTTGAAACAGAGTTGAAATAATTTCAAAAGCATATATTTTAACGCAAAAGTCATGACAACACAAAATTATTATTCCCGATGAAGTGAAAAACGAAACTTAGATCTGTACTTCCTTTGTATAAATTTAGTAACAACTATCCAGGGGTGCGTTCAAAAGTGTATAGCGGCTACGTAGCCTCTACATAAAGCTGCGATTTTGAACTATATGCTAGCCTAGTTGCGACGTAGGGGGAGTTAGCATAAATGTTTGATGCTAAGTACCATATACAAGATGGCCTCCTTAGTTAACAGTTCGCAGAACACAGAATTTTAACAAAAAAGGGGTTGTTTTCTACATCTCATCGAATTAAATGTAAATTTACACATATATTTTTGCTTGAAATAAACTCTTTGTTACAAAAATAAGTTCTTACTGATATCTTTTTTATCCGAAATCTAACACTTAGCGGGTAGGCTAGCTGTACATTCTATAGATAGATATCTACCACCTAGCTGTTAGGTTAGCCGCTACGATATTGAACGCAGCCCTGGTCTTAAAAAAACTAATTCGGGGAAATTTTGGCCCCCACTTAACGACACAATTTTATGTGAGATATTTTTCGGAAACAAATTGAAATCATACAAGTTTGTAACCGTGACCTTTGACCTAAAATTCAGTAGAGGTCATTTTTAGCTGTAATAGGGGTCTGTTTAAGTTTAAAAGTCAACACTGTTCAGGCCCGTAGGAAGTAATTTCACTTTGAGGGGCCACAACCATACATTTTCAGTTGAGGGGGCATTATCGACTACCAAAATTCCTTGACAAGCAAAAAAAAAAAAAAGAAAAAAAAAAAAGGTCACCAGACGTTATTATTGAGGGGGCACAAGCATGTAGTAGCTATGTTTTCTATAGTATTCTATATATCGGCAAAATTATTGGGGGGGCACGGCCCCCCGTGCCCCCCCCCCCCCGGTTCCTACGGCCATGCTGTTTTATTGTAAAGACGCAGAGAGAACTAAGGAATCCTCTGAAAACTATTTTATGAAATATTTGAGATATTAGATAGTAGGGAAGGAGAGTAAGGAGTAGAGAATGCACCCCCTTGTCCAACCTCGCACTAGACTGAACCCTTGGAAATGTTGTCTTAGGAGACTTGGATCTTAGTACATGCATATATATGGAAGGATCAGGTCTTTTGGGTTATTTTACTGCATGTAGAGTCTACGTCTTGGTTAATATAATAAAAAGCAATTTTTTCTTAGCACACTAATATCAACTGGGTTAATTTGGATTGTTCTTTCTAATGTGCATTCATATTTATTTTGTTCATTTACAAGTACAGTGTACCACGTACTTCCCCCTTTTGGTAAATTATACACATGCAATTTCGCCAGAGCGCCCTTAATTTATATGTGAATGTTAACTACATTAATCATTTGTCTTGCTTTTTACACCGTTTTACCGCGATTTAAAAAAAATCATTACAAAGGGGGGAAACAGTTATCATTCCTGAATTAAATCTAATTCAGCCAAACAGTTTAATCATCGTCATTCACGAGATTCAAGAAATACGTGAATTATGTTTTTAATTTTAAATGTATTTGGCTTTGGAATAATATCGGTATGTGTTTATATAATAGGCTTCTATATGGCAGGATTTGGAGTCCAAAGGCCGACTATACACGGATTCCTCTCTATTGAATACTATGCAGTAATGACATATAAATTTCTTCCTCAATAATAACACCTGGCTTATCATGTTCATCGATTTTTTATGTTGTAGTTTAAAGTATCATAGCACTTTGTCCATACCCTAAGGAAAAACCCCGAGGACTTTCTTATCCAAAGGATATCCAAAAAACATTAAAACATTAGAGATTTCTGGATATGAAAATTGCAGAGAAAAGGCGATGATTCCTGATTTACCGGTCACGTGGCTACTCAGTAGAGGAGATGGATTAAGGGGTGTTAAATCGCCGATATAATTATTGGACATATTTAAAAGCTGTGCATTCATTCATTAGATCTGCACCGTTTCGGGTAACCATTGATTGCAAGGGGAGTTTTAATCATACATTCACATTTAAGAGCACATGTAAGTACTAATTTAATACCTACTTTTCTCTTTACAAGCAGGAAAGGAATTGTTATACTCAGAGCTGGTTTATATTAACAATATACAAGGTGTTCTGGGTCTTCAGCTGTTTGTTTTGTTTATACGAAAAGAAATAGGAGTCTTTCTCCTGTATAAAAATCTGGTATGGCACACGTGTGATCGACAATGCATAATTCAAGGATAAGAAATAAGAAATCTTTTTATAGCATGCTTATATAAGTGTTATAACACATCAGGACTTTTTAAAAAAAAAATCTTCATATCAAAACGTGAAGTGGCTAATCAAAGCTACTGACGCTCGCACGATGCGGGCGGTATAACATTCACTTGAGGGAAATATTACTCAGGAAAAAACTAAAATATTTACGAAATGTGTGTAAAGACGACTGTGGGTGTTGGAATACTTGAATAAGGATGTCGAAGTTAATGTTTAGTGTGGCTGACTGATGAGCACTTTGTATAAAAATATAATATTCTAAGGGTTCTCGGAGCATGTGAAATGTTACAAAGACACATTGTGTTACAGACGGATTTTTTTTTTGAGCTGTGTATATCTAAAAGCTCTCAAATTAGTCAAAAGATATTTTCATCCACTAACCCTTTTTCTTCGATACTGCTCCAGTCATGTATTGAGAAAACATTATAAGGTACGTTAATTTCTTTAGTGGTTAAAAAATTGCACTGATAAAAATAGTGGTTGTTCAAGGTTGCTTCTTACACAGTGAACATATTTTCGACGGGGGAAAACGAGGAAAAATTAATAGATTTGTAAACAATATAGTTTTCAATGCTCCTTTCTTTTTGGTGTAATATCAAGAACTCATAACGCAATTCTACTCTCATCTTCTTGGACTTATCTCAACAACAATGAATTGACGTAGACTATCTAAACACAACTTAATGATAGGAGACCGTAATTAACCCTCTGTCTATTTGATCAGATTTATGACATACCACGAATCCTCTTCAGGGACACCCCCTTCACGGAGGAGGCATGGTCCACAATCTAGCTATAAATTGAGTTTAACGACTTATCTGATGAGCCATTCTTACAACTAGCTTAATTTGAACTGGCCATATTACGGAACAAGAATATACCATTCGTTGTGTCGTCTAATCAATAGTAATTATTCATTTGGTGCCTGCCTTTAGGTTCAGGGTCAATTTAAAGAGAAATAATTGTCGTCTGGAAATGACATTGTGTCTTTTTGCAGAGTTTTGTCTCCCCTTAGACTTGTCATCTACATACGGTAATTAGTGGTGCCTCTTATGCCTTTGAACCGATTACGAGATAACTCAAAATTTTCTCAAATAATATACTCATACAAGATTTCCCTTTTTTTCCTGAAGTTATCCGAGAAATGACTTACAGTAGGATTATTTATTTATAATAATACTCGTCGACAAGGAAAAGTTTCACACAAGAAAAATGTCTGAAATAGCAATGCAAATCGTGAGCAATATTCGTCCGTAGATCAAGGTTTTTTAAAATTTATTTTTCCTTTTGCCTTTCTTCTTGTTGACAGCATGAACTTAAATAAATCGGGGTCACAATAATATATCATTCTGGCCACTGTATACTTCAGTTCCTAAAGCACATGAATGACAAATGAAGTACAGCATATCTTGACTGACCCATCACATGTAATGTCTTTGAGATTAATCTTAGGGAGATGGATCCGAAAAATAATTTAAGTGTACAAATTTATTTTTTCTGTAGTTTTTGAGAGAGAGAGAGAGTCATACTGTATAACGTTGCCAGAATACATGACAAGATAAACCCTTACATCGAAGGGGGAAAAATTAAACTTCATGAAAGATCAATAAACGTATTTCGTGCAAAAGAACTATTCTTCTCATCCCAAAACCCATTTACAGTGGTAATGACTTCGTATTTATTTATTTTTCATAAAGAACGCAATTTAGTAATGAAGTATCTCACGAAAGATTAAAAATAGTAAAAGAAAAAACCCTGTCGTTTCCATATCTACTACGACCCTTTCCCTGGTACACAAGAGAATTATTTTGTTTAGCTGCAGGCATAGAGCCATGTAAATCAAACCTGGTCACGTCCGTTGACAAACGTATAGAATTTTATAGGAGGAGGCTTTCAGCAATGAACTGACAGAGGACGAACATAATAATTTTTTTCTTTCTTTTTTTTTTAAGTGGAAACGGGTCCCTCTGACGTTTTCGGATGAAATCATGGCGATGGTAACACATAATGGACAAACGATCGGGATAACGGAGTACGTATCTCTTATTATTGAAGCAGCGAGGAAAATTATCGAGAAAGAACAACGAGAAAAAGGAATTTTAGATAAAAGTGGAATGTCTCTTGCCAGCGCGGACGCCCAGGAAGACAGGTTGGCCAGCAGCGAATCAGAATTCCCAAAAGAAATGGAGGAAGCTTCGACAAACTCTCTAGGTAAAATTCGATCAATTACATATTTTCAAAATAAATAAATGACTGAAAAATGTAAGATTTAAGCCCTTAATAATGAAAGTAATATAACATGTTTCTCTCCCTCTCAATTTCCATTAACTTCTGCAACAATTCATCTAATGTTTAAATAGAGTCGATGAGATAAAAATGTCACAACTTCCAGTCAAATAAACTAAACAGTTTGTTAGATATGATAAATAATAGTTATGTAAAACACGTAAATAGATTCTTGAAGAGTGTGTTAAAGCTTTCAATGCCGTTGATTACTCAGAGGGTGGGGAATGCGTTCAGAGTTAATAGACCCCGAACAGCAACATTGAAATCCATATGGAAAAGATAGCCATTCATGGTCAAAATGGGATCTGCAGTACCTAGTGTAATGTTTAGCAAAAAGGGATAACACAGTGGTGATAATGTCAAACATTTAATGAGCTAACGATTTTTTCCCCTGCAGATGATATCATTGTTCAGAATAAATGAAATGTATACACCCGTCCTGTTTTGAATACATGTATTTGATTTCCATGAATGTAAACAGACAACATCGAAATTTTTGGGGGGGTGTTCTAGTTCTGTATATCTTTATTCATTTTTTTAATTTCAGACACAAATTCAGTGAAATTACGTTTACCCGATGGAACTCTGCAGTCGGTGGAAGATTACATCATCGGAATTATAAAAGACGCCAGTGATCAGATCGAAAAAGAACGCCAGAATGCGAGTATAAGAGCAGACGACACCCTTGATAAATCAGCTGTTGGTGCTAACTTGCAGACGCCTTCTGAGACTGAACCCATCAGTAATACATGTGAAAAAGACTCAACACGTAAGGGAAATTTACAAACAGTTTGAAATTTTTTGTCCATAAATATTAGATATTTCCCTAAGTGCTAGATAAGAATAATTCAATTACTTTGGGTGTTTCCCAACACTAATTATGACTTAACACACATACTGAATTTAACAAGATTCTACTGCAAAATTTAATCAGTTTTTATTAGATGAAAAATTATGTATACTTTATCATTTTTACTGCAGCAAAGGCAGCTAAACCCAAAGTATCAAGTCCAAAGCAAGGACCTGTTTCAAAAGTTCTCAATAGGATCTTCAAGGTAGTTCAAACTTGAGAAGGCTGTGAATATGATTACAACAATAAGTGAGATTTTGATATACATAAAATTTTTTTGAATATGTACTTCCTTCCTCATGGGAGGCAATAGAACATTGAATCCTTGAGCCATAAAAAAAATTTACAAGAATTTTTTCTTCTTGGTAACCGGTAGCAGTGTACATGAAAACGAAATATCTGCATTCTATTAACATTTAGTGTTTATGATAAACTGTTTTGTCTAATCTTCACCTTGGCATTTGGATATTGATTTTAATCATAAAAAGTTTATCCAAAACACTTATTGTGAAGTGGACATTGATAAACATTTATTAAAGGAATCCTTAGTTTTCATAAACACACTCTATCTTATCTTCTTTTCAGAGAGGTAAAACAAAGGAAAAGGAGAAGCCAAATGAAGGAATTATCAATGGATTTGACGATTCTCTCACATCAGAGAGAGGTACCTAATTAATCTCTCCTTGACAGGGAAAAATCAATACCCAGAATGGATTTATTTCACTGTCATCATCTTGCACTCTCAACCCCATCATTACTTCCCCATTTGTTTTTCTATGTGACAAAAAGGGAATTACTAAGTGCCAAACCATCACAGTTGTCTTCAGCATTTTAAATCCTGGTCTTGAATCTGAAGCCTTAGTTTGTTTATTACTTTGCCTTTTTTTATGAACAAGGAACTTAGGCACACTAAATTTGTGTCTTCTATCTGAATGAAGCTGACTTGGTTATTACATGCACTTCATTTATTTTCCACTGAGAAGGATTTCTCCCTTAAGATATATATTTTAAGGTTAAAAAAAAACAAAACAAAACAAAAACAAAAAAAACAAAACAAAACACTTCAACCCTACTCATTGTTTTTAAAACCACAATGCTAATGAGAAGCTCTCCATTTGATCTATATAATCAATACATCAATTTTCAAAATCAAATTACTAGAAAAAATTTGTACTGACTATTTTTCATTTTTCATTTTTATTTTGGACAATTTTTTTTCTTTTTCTTTGGTTCATGATAAAAAAAATATTCCACCACCAACATTCAGTATTTCTGTCGCAGTATATCACTCGATTTCTATTGATTTTAGCTCAGTATCAACCTGTGAATGAGAACTTATTTCAAACAAGTCCTATTCACTTACAAAAAAAAAGATACATGTACATGTAATTCAAAAATAACAAAAAAACCCTCCTAAATAAATAGAATTAAAAAAGGATCACACTTGATACCCCCAACCCGTCTACAACCCAGAAATCTACTAAAATTTGACCTACAAATACAGGAACCAAATTACCTCTGCTGATTGATTTTTGTTGTTAATGGTAGTTCTAGCAATCAGGCAATTACACCAGTATTTTTCTCCACAATGATGTGAATGATTTGAGAGCCATTTGATTTTTTATATTGAATTTCTCATATCAGTACTGTAAGTGACTGTGGTTCTGCATTGATCAGGAATATTCTGTGGCTTTTGATAAAGGAAGATCAAGTATAAAACGTGAAAAAAATCAATCATAAAAAGAATATAAATTTATTTATAATTTGAAGGGAAGAGGGAAAAAACTTTCTTTAAAGTGATTAAAGAATCGTTTCTGTGATATATAGTATACATCAATATTTGTAATTAAAATACCAAAAGTATTTATTATTTGCAGAAAATTACTAATGTTACAGAATAAATACTGCTATTATACAATCCACTAGAATAAAAAAAAATATTGTTACTTAAAACTTAATCTGTACTGTGAAGTACTTCTGCATCATCATATTTTTTATTTTTCTATGTCCTTAAAACAATTGAGATGCTGAAAAAAAAAGTACTGCATGATTTATCTTCTGTATTTATTATGATTCTCTTTTTTTCAGCCAAAGAAGAAGAAAATACCCCCTCAAAACCTGAAGAAAAGTCCCCCTTCAAACCTGAACCAAGTTCTCCAAACAGTGTTCACAATGAAGAAATCACTGTTCACACAGAGAACCACGAATCTCCCAGCAAAGACAATAAACAAGAAATTCCCAAAGGAAAAGTCAAAGTCCAAAAGAAAAACTCCCTCAGGAAAATGTTGTCCTGTTTCTCTTCCAAGGCAGCTCAAGCAGACTGATCTACGTACGTATGGAGTACGATATCCGGACAAATCCTAAGCTTATATTTTGGATTGGCATGTTTCTATTCTGATTACATTTGGCTTGATCACAAACATGCATTACATGGATATTTATTACATTTGAATCCAATATTTGCATTAATAACTACATGGAGAATTCATGCAGTTCTAAACCAGTATCCTCATCCTCCAAAAAGAAGATAAGATTTTGTAAAGTGGAAATGTTTTTGTGCCATAATGAAAGGGTGTGAAAGTTTAGAAACACTTCATAATGAAGAATGTAAAAGAAATTGCTTTTCAATTCATGGATTCAAGAAAAGAGAACAAATTTTTTACTCAGTAGTATACAAGCTTAGATGGGATTCTTTAAGAAATAATATTTCAAATTGAAAGGATAAGAGAAATTGAGAGGAAATAGATTGGTTTTCAAGTAATATAAAAACTAGTTGGAACTGATGTCAGTGACAGTATCATTATAGCATTACTGCAGTGACAGCACAGTTGTGGTTGTTGTGAAAGTAAAAAACTGACGAATGACACCTGTCACTTGTGTTTTGCAAATTGTATAAAAATAATTTTGATGGCGAACTGACAATTGATAATAATAATGCAGCAGTATTGTATGTACCTACTGGTATATTAATGTTTGAATAACTAGAAAGACATATACATGTTTCTCATTTTTTTATGATCACAGACAATTAAATCTCATTTACTAGTACATGTAATACCTTTTATCTAATTTTACTACAGTATTATACAAAGAGTTCTTAATATGGTGAGGAAATAAAGAACTACTACTTGTTACACCCCCCCCCCCCCTCCTTTAAATATAGCTAAAATCAAGGATTGGCAATAAATAAAATGACTCATTTTGTATTCATCCTTGAAAATTTTTTTTGTTTTTTTTTTTTGTTTTTTTTTTGTTTTGGTTGAGTTTTTGATGTTCAAATTATACACCACTCTGTAAAATGCTCTAAAAAATGTAACTATGTATACATGTACAAAACATTTACTAATAATTCATTTTCATAGTAAATTTTTACTTCATTGATAACTAATTTCATTATGATTTATTCTTCAAAAACAAACAATGTCTATTTATAGAGTTCTCCTCATGCCAAATCATGATTCAAGTGTTGTAAAAATAAAATGGTGTAGCATGATTAAGTATTTTTCTTGTATTTTTTTTAATACCAATGTAAAAATGGAAACACTATAACAAGATAGTTGATATAGGTCAGTTGTTTCTGTGTGTGATAATGTGTTAATCATTATCACAATTTACAGCTACCATTGCATCCGAGTCATTTACTGAGTCTATCTCATGTACTTTATTTCAAGAAGGTATTTCATATGCCAGTACTATACTTTCATTGTCAAGGTGCTTAATTTTGTCAAAGTTATGTACATAGATATTTTATTCATTAGTAGTTGTTTCAATGGTTGGACATAATTAGCATTAAAAAACTGTATTCTACCGTCTAAGGAAACAATTGAAATATTGTACATTCAAATCCTGTGAATAATCATAAGATGAATTTTTTTTTCAAAATTGACTAAGAAAAATAAAAATGCATATCAAAGAGTTTATCTTTTTTAATTAGGAGAAAGATGGGGCTATAATTTTGCATAAAATTGGTTTTCTCTTACTTTTATGTTAAAATGTCTTTTGCTATGTGCAATGAATATTTTAAACAACATGCCGTATATTCTTTTCCATACAGTTGAACTTCATTATCTCGAATGCCAATATCTTGAATACAAGGGATATGTCCAAGTGAGTTGGCAGTCCCAATAACTCATTCTTTATGTTTTTCTTGAATCATTGGATATCTCGAATTTTAATTTTGGTCCCATTGAGTTCGAGATAACAAGGTTTGACTGTATTATATTTGCAATAACAAGTTTCTATATACCTCTCTAATTTGCTGTCTCGATACAATTTATGTCTTATCCTTTTTTTAAAGATGCATTAAATCTACCACCTGGTACAATTGTGTTTATAATGCATGTCTTTGTCTTATCTAAGGTTCACTGTCCCTTTGTTCACCCATGTAAAATTTTCCTTTACTGCTAACGATTATTTTTCAAGAGAAATCTAATTTATAATTTAAATACTCACATTTTCAGCATACAATGGGGGCAAAATTAGACAGAAATGTCCTTTTAACATGTCAATTTTATATAGGAATAATAGTGATTTAACTCACTGAGAACTATCTCTCTTAACAGAGGGTCAGTGAACCTTAAATTCAAATTTTGTTTACGTTTGAATTCAAAAATTGCAATAAAAGACAAAGTTTTACACATTTGTTTCTTCATTTTATCATATGACCTGGCTAAATTAAATAATTATTTGGCATAGCATTACCTTTTTTTTCATACTGAACATACACATACTGGTATATCAACAGAATTACAATAAAACTTATTTAGTACACTAAAACTGTATCTTCCCTTCAAATTGCCTAAATTCAAAAGTTGGGATAATATTTTTTTTTAAAGAACAAGTGATAAGGCTTGACTGTATCTTAGGCCTTTGTTTAACAAAGAATTATGGCCCAGACATTTCTTTTTTAAACTGAGAAACATTTTTATCCTGAAGCCAAAGGCACTGGTAATGGTCAGATCTGGTTGAGAAACCTATCATTTTATAATGAAACACCCATGCTTATTACCATCAACTTAGGTTAGACTAGAGGCACTGTGAGCAATGAGCTCACAAAATGAACCCCCCCCCCCCCCCTGCCACATGAGTATAATGATAAAGTCCATATTTTGCTATGGGAGAGACCAAATATGTGTCTGATCAAAATGTAAAAGAGGAGATGCACAATGGCACTATGTAATAATTTAAAAGATTTTAGGAAAGTCTCATTAAATTTTATTCAGTGATATAGGAGGAGTTGTGGATAAGAGATGGGTACCCCACATATTATATGAATGACAGTGTCTGTGTTTTGCTGTGGGAAACCCCAAACATGTGTGTCTAATCAACACATAAAATAGGAAGGATAGATATAGATGGACAGACAGACACCCCCATTACTATATACCCTCACTTCTCAAGCAGGGGGTACAAAAATTTGAAAAAAAAAAAAAAAGGAAAAGGACAGGCATTTCTAATCTAACAAAGATATGTTCAATAAAAATGCTAAACCTCTTCAATTTCCTTGCCAAAAGCCTTTTTAATTTGAGTCTGAGATTAATGGTCAGGGTTAAACAGGAATCTCATATGTAACTACACCCTAAGATCTAATATGCATAACTTATGGAGCATCACACCTTTAGATCACTGGCAAACATATTCCAGTGTTTGAAATTATTCCCAATCAAGGGGTGTAAAAATTGAAGCTGTGGCCTGGTGCAACTTTGTGACAGACAGACAGCAAAGGGAGACGAAAACAAGATGTCTTAACTATCATTCTGTTTAGAGAAGAGAAAAAAACTTGGTTAGAACAATACTCTTTGAAGGGAAGACAAAATGATACATGATGTAAGTAGACATGCATGAGTTATCTCTCCTTGAATTTTAATCCATTGAAAAGCTGGTTTGTGGATATGTATGGTAAGAGAAAAAGAACATATTTTTTTCCCACAAGTATAAAAACTCCTTTAGAACATCTGATCTATTAATGTACATTATCAAAATCTTTACAATTATTTGTATATATAACAAGATTGATTCTGTTGATTACTGTTGATTCAGGCCTGGTTTAGTAGACTTCTATACATGCGTATCGAGTGAGCCTTCCTCCTCGGATTTCCTTGGTTCGACCACAGTGACGTAGTATCGTTAACACTGACCGCCCAACACTGTCCAGTTTGAAATTAGTAAATTCCTTGATATCAGTATCCACTATGAAGTGCTCTCCTGTGAAAAAAGTATTTCAGTAAATTATTGTTAATTATAATAAGTCATCAAACATATCAATCTGATGCCTTGATCAACTTCCACTTTTGATTATAATCAAACTGTCACTTGTGATTTCTTTGTAACCTGAATTTTTCTTAGATATATAACATAAGTTTCTTAAAATTATTCCAAATTCAATTTCCTTTCAGGGGCAAAATTAGAGGGAATTAGTTAAGACAGCCTTCATAGATGTAAATATACAGTCAGTTCTGCCTAAGAAAAATGAGAGGAACTGAGGGTTTCTGAAGATGGACAGCCTTATGTATTTTTGAAAGTTACAAAAAAGCACTAAATTGATTCATCTTTAAAGTATTTCAAAGGTACAAGCAGATAATAGGGAGAGTCAAAATAAATTTATAGACAAAGTGCACCAATCTATAGACAAAGTGCACCAATCTATAGACAAAGAGCACTAATTTATAGACAAAGTGCACAAATTTTCATTGTTTTATTGAGCCACTGCCGACTTGATTGGAATATAAACAAGGTACTGAGGGTTGTGGAGTCAACTCAATATTAAAAACTGAGCAAATGACATAGTGATCAATGATGTTTACTGAAGAAATCAGGATTAATATTAATGAGTTTTGAACGTGTTTAAAGAAGGAATTTTTGAGAGTGGGTGGGTCAGTGGGAGACTGGGAATTTAAATTCTAACAAAACTAGATAAAGCAACGAATGCCCCCGCAGGCAGCCAAAATTTCATATGCAATATTTAGTTTTAAATTTGTTTGCACATAAGATTTTAATTTCTAAGTTCAAGGTGCATAACTAAGTTAAAAACTATGCAATATTAACCTTATTAGGCCAAAAAAATTAATCAATAGTTTCTCAGGCACCGCCGCATCAGGTCAAACACTGCCGCATTGATCAATTTTATTGATATGTTGAAAAGGGAAATAACTCAATTGTTGCCAAGATAATGAATGGAAAGTCAATGATGACGGAATGATGGAACAGGGTAACACTTATGACGGGGGGCATAAAAACGACCTTATGTAAAATTGCCCTTAAAAATGGAAAGTCAATGATGACAGGATGACCGAATGAAGGAACAGGGTATCACTATATGCCCCCAGCTATTTTATGGCTGGGGCATTAAAACATGACCTTATGTAAAATTGACCTTAAAAATGAGAATTTTATTCCAGAAACTGTATTTATCTAAAACGCTGTGGTGCTTAACCAATAAAATGAATATATAACTTATAATTAGTTTTTTTCAAACCTATGTCACAAATAATTGAGTTTAGATGAGATGATGATGAAGATGATTTATTTATCTGGACAATTTGGCCAGGAACCAAAGTGTCCAGACTAATGAAGCTCCACTAGTATATATTTTGGTATCAAAGGAAAAAATTGACTGTGGACCCTAAAGGTCAAACACTACAGATTCTCCAAGTGTTCCTTAGCTTACCTACATAAACGACAACTTTAAAATTTACAGGGATCAATGTCACAAGCGTCCATCCCCGAGTCGTTACTTACCTTTGGTGTCCTTGGACTCCTGCTCTTTGTATCTCTCATATCGCTTCCTGTTCACATCATTAAGTGTGGTTCTCTTCATTCCTAGGATTTTGTACTTCTCACTCAATGCCTTATTCAGTTCATCAATGGCAGTGTTTACCTGATTGTAATTCAGTCTTCCTTTCATGTATCTAAAACAGAGAAATTAACAAGACCTTAAAGTTCCTGTTCTACTCTGAAAAACTTGGGTGAATGTAGTTTATAAATGATGACTATTGTAAGGTTGTAAGCACCATGAAAAGATTGTATATCCCTTTTAAACATGTTCCTCTTACTTTGGAACCTCCTCAAATTCCTCCACAGTTATGTAAACCAGGGCAGGGATGTAAACTGCCTTTGCGTGCTTCCTTCCTCTTGAGCGACTCCTTTTATTTGGGATGTTTTCCTTGTCATTGGAGGAAGAAGATGCTACACTTGTTTCGCTTTCACAGGATCTATTGTAAAAGCCGATAAAAAATATCTTTTGAATACTCTACCAAACCTAGAACACTGACAAAGTCATACAGGGCCTTACAGTATGCTAACACAAATAATCTTAAACTTCCTTTAGACATAGTCCCTTTGGCAAGTGGCCTCAGATGATTTTTTTTTTTGGGGGGGGGGAGGGAGGGTTCATTGTGTAGTGAATATGAAGTCTGCATGTTGAAATAAATACTCAATTTTTTGTACCACATTAAAGTTTGCTCATGAGAAAATGAACTATTTGGACCCTGACCTTTGAATGAATAACCTCAAATCTACAGGTTTTAACAATTGTTCACCTAGTAAAGAAAAATGTTCTTTTCAGTTTAAGAAATTGTACCATAGTTACTGTAGAGCATTTCTTAATTCAAAAATGGCTGTATCAATAGTCTTGGCCCTTTGGTCTTGACCTATATTCAACTCAAGAGATGTCTTCTTCAACATATCTTTATCTATGTAGTAACCAAAAAAATTTACAAGGTCTATTCAAACAATCTTGTCATTTAATCTAGAAGTCTTCCTCAAAATATCTTCCACCTTGAATGTAATAAAAAAAGGTCTGTAGATTTAAATGTACCCAAGTTTCCACATGACTCATATCACATAAAAGTGATGGTCAGACAGACAACTCGATAGACAGACATACAGACTTGGTGATTACTATACAATATCAACAGCTCAATGCTGGGCTCCCCTAATATTGATGAAAAACATGTTTTCTTTTTGAACAGAAAGTTTCAAAAACTTAAAATGGTCTAATATACATTGGAATATAAATAAGCAAAAAGACAAGGAATCCTTGCGCAACAAAATTTAAGCATTAATTTCTTTCCTATGTAACTTAAGTTTAAGTTAATTTTCTGTTTTGAAGGATCTTACTGTAGTGGGGTTGGATCTGTTTTCACTGGTTTTGGAAGATGTGGAGGAATATTGTCCATCAAATGCTGCAGACTGCTGATATCAAGTGAATGTGTCAAAGCCTGTAATTAATAAAACATATATTATCAAAGATTATGAGGCTGACCTCCACAAATGTTATCTATAATTAAAGCTTTCTCATATCAATTACTGTAAACGTCTTTGGTAGACAGACACCTCGGCCCAACGACACCTCGGCCCGTCGCGCTTGACACCTCGGCCCTGACAGGTCGGCCCAAAATTATTGACACCTCGGCCCATACTAAAGACACCTCGGCCCAAGGAATTTTTTTTTAAGAATAATTATCTGTATTCACTATGGTAATATAAATGTATGTATGTTTATAATGACGATATGTATACGATAAACGGGCAAATAATTTCAGAATTTTTGAAGAGTGTGACTAAAATGGGTAGTAAAACCCGGGCCGGGCCGGGAATTTTGAAACTGAAAACCGGGTTTTCGCTAATTACTGAAAAAATACTGAATTCTTCAGCACGAAACTTACAGATGTAATTTAATACAACAAAATGTGTCTTCGCTGAGAGTTTTAACACCAAATATTATATTGTTCAATTATTATTAACGATTGTCATTTTCTCGGTGACTAAAATGGGTAGTAAGCCCGGTTTATTCATTTTGGTGCTTTAAAGCTAATTACACTCAAAAATGGGATGTCTTTGTGTTTTATCATTGTTTATTAACTTTAAGAACTTAAATATTACGACAATTGCAAAAATTAATGTCGATAATTAAAATAATCGCCGAGTTTTGATACCCGGGACAGTCCAAAACCGGACGCGTTTGCCCGGGACAAACTGGAACATTCCGAAAAAATGAATGCGGGTGGTTACGTTCCGATGACTTGTTCGACCCGCGTGGTTTCGACACAAATCCATGTTCGACCCGAGTGGTTTCGTTCCAAAGCAATTAATTAACAATTAATTGCTTCGGAACGAAATTAATTAACACTTTCAAAAGTTTTACATTTTATTTTTTCGTCTACAATTTTTTTTTTATATTGACCACGTATAACTGTGGTAATTATCGTATGTAATTAAATTTGGAGAAACGTACATTGTTCAGACAGTGCATATGTGATCACGGTACATTTGAAGAAGTATTTGATTAATTTTTATGGAAAATTGTTCAAATATAATTCATTACTAAATCAAATTTATCAACATTCATGCTCCGCGATAGTAGAAAAAAATGTTAGGAAACCTGCATGTTGACTACACATACGGAAACAACTACCTATTGACACGCACATCTCTGAAGCCATACAATATACAGCTACCGGATATCCATTTGTTTACCGCACAGTGTATACCCCTGTACTCAGGTATTGACATGTAGGGATATATATTAGAGTAGGTCGAAACCATTGCCATCAGATAACCGGGTGCAGAGAATAATGTAGAATTTATTTTAAAAAAGTAATCTAACTCCCCCCCCCCCCCCCCCCCAAAAAAAAATAAATCAACAAATGGAGAAAATAAATGAAATATACACAAAAATACCGACATATTCTATTTTTTTTTCTTTTAAATACTAATGGAGTTATATACTAATGGAGTTATGGACATAATGATTTGACAAGAGAAAGACTGTAGGCTACAGCTAGATTCGTATTCAGGTAATCATTTCGCCGAAATTACATATATGTAGTATATGTCTGCAGAGCTAGCTTGGAACATGTTAAATTAAGATCATGAAGATATTACCAGTAAATTTGATAAAATCTACGCAGTTGGCTTGGTTCAGTAATATTTACTCCTCTCGTCATTATCTCGGAAATTTATGGTTCGTCCCGGGTAAACGTCTCCGGTTTTGGTCGGTCCCGGGTGTTCAAAAATGCATTTATTTTCTACAATCGGTGAATATTAATAAAATGGTTATAATTTTTGGGTTGTTTAAGTTGATTTCCATCTATCCAATACAAAAAGCTGCAATTATTTCAATAATATTAAGTGCAAAACACCAAAATATGCAAACTCACTGTTTTCTATGTTGGTACATTTCACAGTGGTTTTAATTTCACTGTCACTGAATTTCTCATTCCTAAATATTTGCAATTGTAAAAATACTCTTTCAAAACAAAGTAGGTTAAGGTAATTTATTTAAAACAAAAGTTTCCAGTAAATAACTTTAAACTGGCGTTGTTATTAACGATGGATTTCCATTAAGATTTTCAAAAATTATCTATTTTACTTTTACAGAATAGGAAAACAGGATTTTTAGAGCATCAAGCGTGTATTTGAGATATAAATCCTATATTGATATGTCGACAATATTCATGATATATTGATGAAAATTCTTTGATTGCAAACATAGTGAAACTAAAACCTCCACAACGTACTCCACTTTTACAGTAAATGTTCTGGGAATGTGCATCCCTAGATGCAATATCTATGCAAGTTTGGTCCAGGTGCGGCTAACAGTTATTTTGGAATGGGCTGTGCCAAAAACTTGAAACTGAGATGCAGTCGACAACAGTATAGCATAAGCTCATTCTGACTTCATCAGGTTGAGCTAAAAATAAACTAGATTTAGGATACAGCATATTTAACAAATAAATTATTTGTTTTCAACATTTTCAAATACCCCTTTTACATATGTACGCTATACAACCCTGTGAAACACAATGGAAGAAACGCATTGAAGAAAGCATGGACAGAAGAAAATTGTTTCAATTGTTTGCACCTCAACCTGTACAAATTCTTATGAAAATAAAATGTAAATGTTATACAACCAAAGAATCAGAAAATTATTGGGGTCTTTACCTAGGCCTCTTGTTGGGGTTCAGTGGACCTTGGGTAAGTGTGCAGATTAGGTTTTGGGTGGCAGTTCTGAATCTATTCAACTTTATTGTGGGTGTACAATGTATACCAATTTTAAAGAGAACATGCTTGATTCAAATCTGGTCAAATTTGAAGAGTTCGTAACAGTATAAAATTTGACATGAAATTGCTAAGAAAAAAAAAGAAATTTGCTGGGGACACCCTAAATCTTCACTATATCCATGAATTTGCCACATCTGTGTTCATACTAAACAAGCGTTACTGTCTTACCTTTTTTATCCAGTAAAATATTCACCGATTTATGAGGACCTGACCATGATATTAACTGGTTCATTATATATACACAGTTTTAACATGAAGCATGAATGATATCAAACCTTCATTTCATCCACTTTTTGCTGTCTTTGTTTCAAAACAGATTTAATATCTACAAGAATTGACGAGAGTGTATCAATATCTTCAGAGAGGTGTTCAATAAGTTCCTGGCAGGTACTCTCCTCCTCCTCCCCCTCCTCAGCTCTCTTGTTCTCCTTCAGGTCAATCATAAAATGAATGCCTTCTAACTTCTCACAAAAATGATTCATCAGCATTGGCAAACTACCCAATTCCATAATGTTTACCTACATTGAATATTAATTAAATAAACATCAACATAATACACAAATCGAGGGCAACAATGATAAATGCATACATATTACATAAACATTGAAGTATCCTACACTGCAGTTGTGTTGTTACTGACAAAACTACCTCCTTATAATTCACCAAAGAGTGTTTCAAGCTCAAACCTATTTTCTATCAAGTTCAAATATACAAGTGGTTTATCATTTCTATGCATAGTCACCATGGAACTATACTTGTCATACTTACAAATTAGGAATGTAAAATTCGTAGTTTTTCAATTGTTTTTATGTGCACTTGTAACCATTCAGAGACCTTTAAATTAGAAATTTACAGTCAGCAATACCAATTTCATTTAACTTAAAAAAGTGAAAAGAAAGACATGACTCCACTATCAACATTTTTACCCAAGTGACTTTCTAATTATTTCATAGTACATATATTTGCCAACAGTATTTTCAGAGATATGTCTGTGATTTCATTGGTACCTTTGTACGTCTTCTTTTGACATGTCATTATGTACATATTAATACAACTTTTTTTTCTGATCACAGTTTAATTATTGACTGATTTCCCAGTGTGCTGCTAAGGATTTAATAGTCATAAGAATGTTTACTGTAAATTTTACATGAAGAACTTGAAAGAGCTAGGGAAAGTTGCCTATTCTGACCTAAAATTAAGATTTGCTATTCAGTTATAGAATTAACTCCTCATAACATTTATCAAATCTTAATTTTAATCCTAATTTTGAAATTACAATTTCTTTTTCAAGAATTAAGTGTGTTGTTACAAATTAATTGCTTTACCAGTATATAGCCACAAACTTTTAGAACTCTGAGTGCAAAGTGTATTGAGGAAACATGGTTTGTTAAACTATTTTTGTCTTGTATTGCTTTCAGAACAATAACAAGAGGCCCATAGGCCACATCGCTCACCTGAGCACATTAGCTAGGCAAAAGCACAAATCAGTTCAGTATTGAAAAGATTACCGTGGTGGGGTGGGGGTGGGGTGGGGTGGGGGCTTGAATTTTAAACTACCTGATGATGCTTTCATGTCAACATGTCAATATAACAAATGGCTTTGTTGTACTTGAGAAGATTTTTAAAAATTCTGCCTATATATTCCTTCGTAAAATTTTTGATCCCCCATTGTGGCTCCTCCCTATCCCTGGGGGTCATCATTTGAACAAACTTGAATCTACACTACCTGAGGATGCTTCCATATCAATATGACTAAACATAGCTTTTCTGTTCTTGATAAGAAATTTTTTTCCTATATGTTCCTATGTAAAATTTTTGATCCCCCATTCGTGGCCCGACCCTATACCCGGGGGTCATCATTTTAACAAACTTGAATCTACACTATCTGAGGATGTTTCCATATCAAAATGACTAATCATGGCTTTGCAGTTCTTGAGAAGAAGATATTTTCCTATATATTTCTATGTAAAATTTTGATTGTCCATTGTGACTCTGCCCTACCCCCGGGGGTCATGATTTGTTCAAACTTGAATCTACACTATCTAAGGATGTTTCGACATGAGTTTCATCTTTCCTGGCTCTGTGGTTCTTGAGAAGAAGATTTTTAAAAGATACTATTAATTTTTCACTAATTTTTAATTATCTCCCCTTGGAAGAGGGTGTGGTGCTTTTGAACAAACTTGAATCCCCTTCACCCAAGGATACTTTGTGACAAGTTTGGTTGAAATTGGCCCAGTGGTTCTTGAGAAGAAGTCGAAAAATGTGAAAAGTTTACAGACAGACGGACAACTGAAAAAATGTGATCAGAAAAGCTCACATGAGCCTTCGGCTCAGGTGAGCTAAAAAGTTAAAAACTATCACTGCACCAACTTGCAACTTTTTTTACATTACATGCTGAAAAAATGCATATGTAGTGAAAGAGTATGACAAAATAGCTAAATCAAGCTATTTTGAATAGCTTATAAAGCTATATAGCTAAATCAAGAGATTGCACCAGACCTGGTAGAACTCTGTTTTAGGGTTGCATGTTAATCATGTTAATATCACCGAATCTAGATAATCCGTAAGACGGGGTCATGTGACCCCGTCTACAAATGATTGGCAATAATGATGTGTTAGATCGACTAATTAGTACTTGTTTTAACTAAATTTTTAAAAAAAAATCCTACTTGAATCCTTTTGCAACTAGAATTTACTCTGAATTGCATTTTTTTTTCACTATAAAGCATTACATATACAAAATAACAAATTGATTTGACTTAAATATTTTTTTCTTTTTTATAATTCTTAAAATATCATTGTTTGTATATGACTGTATATTATTTCTCACCGATGACAATGTTGTTGAAAAAATGCGACAATTATTTGTTTTTAAAATCAGCGCTCTTCTACCGGAAGTCTTAAGTTCTCGCGAGATTTTCTTCACTTCCTGGTTACAGTGTGCAACAACCTCGACAGTCGATAAATTGGGTATGTCAATAAATGATTTTATATTGTTTTTACTTTAAATATCTTGTAATTTCTGGTTCCAATTTTTATGGTTTTTCCCTGCTATCAATTCTGATCGTTTGAATTAAGGTTATATATAATTTTCTCTCCAGAATACCAAATAGAAGCCATCATTTCCAATCCTTCATAATGATGGTTCAAAGACAGCGAAGGACCCGTGAGGTGACGGGTCCAACGCCTCACTCAGTTGCCATCGTAAGTAAAATAAAGCAAAAAAAAACTTTCACAAAAATTTGTTAGATAAGACTAATTGCCCAATAATCTCTTTATAGAAGTGGACAGACTTAATTCAGCCTTAATCTGAAGCCTAATTTCCACTTCTCTAAAGAGAATAATTGTCTAAATGGGGGGTATAATAGCCGATTTAGGATATAATTAATATTCTTAAATTGGATATAAATTTTCTTTTGCAATAAAATATGGAAAAATTATTAAATATATATTTTATTATCTGCATAAATGTATATATTGAATGCAACACCTTTTGACAAGCAACTTTTTCTTTCATCTCATGTGAGTGTGATCTCGAAGACTTTCAGATCTTCTCTCAGATTAATGTACTAACAAGTAAGGTACAAAAAAATCTTGTTTACCAAAGTTGCTGCTTTTTATGTATTTTATTTGGATTTGTGTAATCCAATTTTTTATATACTTGTATAAATATTTGAAGAAAAACTAAGATCTAAGATTCATGAAAAATCCTTAAAAAATACTGTAGTTAAATAATACCAGTTTTGAGCTAGGTGTTCACTGCTGTTTTAGGTTCTAATGCACAAACAGCACAAATTTCAAATTTCAAATAACAAATTGTTACAGTATTAGATTTTTTTTTACATCAGATGAGGGGCCAGATTTGGCTCTTGACATACCTCATACCATGTCCTTAGCAAAAGCTTGCTAATATTTGATATTCATTTCTGTTTGAAAAGCCAATTATTAGCACTGGGGGAACGACTTTACTTTACCGGTCCCCAGAAAAACGCGCTAAAACATAGTGTCGCCGTAGGCAACTTCAGTATATATGAGATCACGTGAGCGATCGAAAAAAATTAAAAGTATGAGGTTTTTAGCCTTTTTGACCCCAAAATCGAATTCTACAGTTAAAAGTTTAGTTTAAAACTTAAAACACTATATATTAGTGTTTTAGATATTTTTTTCAGTGGAGGAATGATTGAGTGAGGATATGATTGGATGAATGATCTGAGAGAGTGTGGTTGAGTAGATGTTACTCGTTTTCTGAAAAAAGTGATTAATATTGTTTATTCAGTGAAAAGGAGACGAAAAATAATTGTCAACAGAGCGCGTGCAGCGCATGCTTAGTGCCGTTTCTTTCGTACTTAGCCATTTTTTCATGTAAACAAACCAAAGAGATGTCGTTAAAGCTGAATTAAGATCTTGCAAAAATACAGATGCAACTGAACTAATCCAAATCTCCCGGGCGGATGCTAGACTAACCCATGTGCGAGGACTAACCCTAATCTCTCGGATGGATGCGAGACTAACCCTAATCAGTTGAAAACTTGTGCAAGGACTAACCCTAATCTCTCAGGTGGGCGCAAGACTAACCCTAACCAGTCAAAAAATGTGCAAGACTAACCCTTATCAGTTGAGTGACGTAAATCTTACGTCATAATGCAATGAGCGCGCGGATCTTGCGGATCTGGGGACCAGTAAAGTCTACCCGCACTGGGAATTTAAGATTACCTAGTAATGAAAGTTTAAAAATTTTATCATGTACATGTACTATTCTCACCACAACTGAGTATGATTCATGTTTCGTATTATTGAAATTTGGAACAATATCTTAATCAATATTCCTTAGTACTTGTGTAAGAGATTAAAGCTTACAATGGTCACTATTAGTACAAATTAAACAAGAAAAAAAAATCTTGACTTTTACTATATTGTTTGCAGAAAGCAAGACCACCAAATGTCAAACCACCAGAATATTTAATACTGGAGAGAAGAAAAAAGGAAGATATGCTTGAAAATTACAGAAAAAACACACAATATATGGAATTTAATGACCTGAAAAATGAATGGGAAAGGTCAACTGACAGAAAAATCAAATTAAACACAGTAAAACGGAAAGTGGATGGTCTCTTGTTAGCTAGTCAGTTTACGATTGAGGATAGGAGAGAAAGGTATGGAATAATTTCATTCTGAGTCTGGCTCAAAACCCATGTTTGACTACACTTTGTAGAATGAAAATATGATCAACAGTTTAATCAACTGTGTGCTTCTGATGATGACCCTCTTTAATTTCCAGTGATTTCAAATTCTTCATATCCATGTATGGTATCTTAATGTTATGTACCCCTCAGGTTAAGAGCAATGCTTAGAGCAGAAGAACAGGGTTACCTAAGGGAAATGGAGGCTCGAGAGGAAACAGTTTTGGAACGTCAAGCCAAAATGAGGGAACGTGCCAAATTTTTGAAAGATAAAAGAGAAGACGAGAGACTGCAATTTGTTCAACAAAAATATGATCAACAGTTCAGGTATGTGTTAAATTTTTATGTAATTAAAGTATTAAAGTAAATTGATTTTGAATTGATATCTGTTTACTACCATGAATTAATTTTCATAAAGGCACTTTTACAGTGCTTTAAATTCAAGTCAGCCCTAAAGTCCAAGGCTAAAAACTTTTCAATATAGCAGATGTATTTGAAGATTTTTATGGAAATTTCATGTTAACTGTAAGAGTTTGGAATTTAGAGCAAGTTAATTTTTGACAAGAGAGAGAGATGAGCAATAAAAAATGTTGTTTGTTTGTCATGCAGTTTCATATGATTTGATTAATTTTAAAAGACTAATAATAGAAGTTGATTCAGGATACAATAGCAATTCTATGTTCAAATAGTAGCATAGTGGGTATTTTATGGTAAATAGAAGAAAAGTAGAAAAGAGGTATGAAACTCAAAGCTTTTACCTTTATTATCATATTTCTAGAAACCAGTGTGAAGAGTTAAGGTCAACAATATCAAAAAGACAACAGGATGAAGTATGTGTAGATAGACTGGAACAGCTTAGAATCAAGGAACAACTTGAGAAAGAGAGGAAAGAACATGAGGCCTTGTATGCCAAGCTCTGGGAGGAAGACATGTAAGCACTAGTCCTTTCTTCAGATTTCATATAAATCTGATTCCTGTAAGGGGGCATAACTTTTTAGTCAGAATGCTGTTTTAAATTTAGACTAAGTGATATTTTTCAGGAGAATATTTTTTTTCAATCAAAATTTTAGATTTCTCTTGATTTTTTTTCATTTGAAAAATCAAAGTTATATAGAATGTTTCTTTTCTCATTTTAAAAAGAAGATTCTAACCTTCTAATTTGATGGATTGGTAGAAGTTATTCCTCTTTCACAGTACTTTCATTAGCATTATTTTCTCACTACAGGTTGAAAAAGGCTGCTCGTGAGGAGAGAGATGCTCAGTCAGCACACGAGAGAAACCAGGAGGTGTTGTCAGTCCTCAGGAAGCAGATGGCAGCACTGGAGGAGCAGAAGGAGGCAGCTCGACGCCTCAAAGAGGAGGAGGCACAACTTCTGGTGAGAATCCTTTTTTTTTTTTTATAATAAATGGTTTGCATTTGAAGACATTTTTTTTTTGTGACATGGAATATTAAGAAATCTGAAGCATTATTAAATCAATTATGTTCAATATTTAGATTAAGCAAAATATTTTGGGAAAAAAATATTTATTGTGTTGAAACAAATGAGCTGCTAAGAGCCTCACTGAAGTAGCATTTAATTGTTTTCATTGAAATTTAACAGTACAGAATAAGATAACAAAAACAGCTTTATTTTGGTACTTGTATAAATATATATTTTGTTTTACAAAAACAGAGGGAACAGAACATTTTAAGGCAAATGGAAGAAGCTAAAGCCAGGGAAGAAAAGCTCAGACAACAGCAGGAAACCAGAGATGTGTTGGACCTCTCTCTGAAACTGAAGATGAAGAAGAAAGCCAAGGCAGAACAGGAACAGTTGGCCTTTGACCTCAAGATTCTGGAGCAACTATTGGAGGAATCTAGAAATGAGGCTATGGAACAGCTACAGAGGAAGGTATGGAAGACATTTTTTTCTGTACATTAATCAAATGTTAACACAACTACTGGTAATTTCAGTTGTGTTTAAGGAGTGGGTAATATTTTGTTGGGTTTTTTTGGTATTTAAATTATACTTATGAAAGGTCTAAAATACATGTTAATTTTCTTAAATAAAATAGCTTAATAACTCATATGATCTCTTACTCTATATCTTTCTTTTTAAAAGAATTTTATATTTGATGTGAACATTTTACAGAGAGAATTACGTGAAGAAGACAGACGGTACAGGGAGTATTTACACCAGCTGATGGAGGAGGAGAAAATCAAGGAGCGAGAACTAGAGAAACTGGTCAATGAAGAAGTAGAGAAGATGTGGCAGAAGCGTCTGAACCAGTGGCAGCTGGAGAGACAAGCCAGAAAGAAACTGTTACAAGACGTAATGGCAGGCAGAGCTGTACAGATCCAAGAGAGATGTAAGTGTCCATCAATCCACCATATTCTCATTCCATAGAATAAATCTGTACAATCTAGAAAGCATCATGGTCAAAAGTCATGGATTTTCGTGTCCATTCTATTTCCACAATTTCTGTGGAAGTAGAATGGACTCAAAAACCTGTGGCTTTTAACGATGAGAAAGTCATTGAAACAAAGCATGTATGAAGTAAGGATAGATATGTTCCTTCATTTAGGCTTTCATTAAACTGAAGATACCCTCATTATATCCTATGTGCATGATGTTATCTTGCCATTGATGTATAATAACTTTCTGTATAGGCACAACTACAAACTGACTAAAATATGATATTTTTTTAGTTATACAAATATAATGGATCTAAGTATAGATTGATCACAGAGTTTCAGAATAATCTTTAGAAACTCGACTGGTATACATTTAGAATCATTAAAGAATTATGAAGCACTCACACTTGTTATTTACATAATACAAAAATGTTAGACATACTAAATAATTCTCTTTAAAGTTTTCTTCTATAAAAAAATCAATATATTAATGGTATGATCATTTTGTTAAACTTCAGTGGCTGAAAATGACAGGAAGCAGAGGCAAGCTGAAGCAGAAAGACAAGAATTACTAAACACCATTGAGGAGAATCGTCGTCTAGAAGAACAACAGGCAGCCAAACTGTGGGAGAAGAACTACAACTACCAGAGAGACCTAGAGGGACAAATTATATACAACCACAGACTCCGCGAGCAGGCACAACAGAGGGAGGCAGAGGAATTCATGTTGGGAATGCAGGCAGAGAGAGAATACCAGGTCCGTCTGAAAGACTGTCTGGATAATGCCGAGTATGATAAACTCCACCCCCTCAGGAGGGCCATGCAAAATAGTGCTCACTAAGAAGAAAATCAACAATATTGATTTTCTTCTTTGATTGTTGATAACATTTTTTGAAATGTGTGAATTTGAATTATTATTCAATAAAAATAATTGTATTGGTAAATGAACAATGCCTTTAAATGTATGCAGGTATAGTGTGAGTACAAAAATAAGAAAGCACTGTTGTATATGCTAGAACCTGTTTACATATGAATAAATTTGTCCTAGAAAGAAAAGAAGAGAAATGAAAATATTTCTTCAATCTTTTAAGGATTGTTCATCAAATTTTAACAGTTTACTCAGTTTCTGTGACTTTTTATAATAAGTTAGTGATTATATATTGTTTTAGATATTTTTTTTCAATGGTGAATGATTGAGAATGGGGATGTGATTGGATGAATGATCTGAGAGAGGTGTGGTTGAGTAGATGTTACACTTTTTTTATTGGGCATGCAAGGATAAGGAAATGTAAGGGGGGTGTATAAGGAATGGAAGCCAGTATGATACTGACAGGGGAATTCTGTCGTAAATGACTAAATGCCTGCATTTACTGTGATATGCTGTAAATATTATATACCAGGTAACCACATTAGACACCCTAAATTAAGTTTACATGTATTTACACAAAATTTACATATCAAGGTCATTGTAAAATCATAGGTTATTGATTTTATTCTATATGGTTTAATGCATGTGTGAAGTCTGTTTTTTTCCTCTTATCTGTTAAACACTTAATGCATAACAATTTTTTTAATTGTTATTTTCAATGTTTGTGTTAAAATGTCATCAAACCTATACAGTTGAAAAGGAAACATTAAATTACTCTGTAAAAAAAAAAAAAAAAGGTATTTTTTTATGTTTGTACATGTAGTTACTCAAAACAATCAAATTGTTTTCTTTCTTTGTTAATACAGGGATTAATAGTTGGACATTGCAGAAAAATTACATAACACCTATAAGCGGATGTGTAAGCTGGTTATCATTATGTAAATTTTTTCTACAATGATTGCTATCTGCTCCTCAGCCAGGAACAGTAACTCTTAAAATTATTATTTAATTTAAAAAAGTCTCAAATGAAGCTTGAAATTGAAATCTTTCTATGCAACAATTTTAGTTTCATGCATGCAGCATCTCAAAATGATTCTAGGTCTTTGAAGTCTTACAAATTATTACTTATTAATTTAAACAGTTTCAAATGAAGCTTGAAATTAAAAACTTTCCATGCAACAATTTGAGTTTCATACATTTCAAAATGATTCAAGGTTCTTTGAAGTCTTACAAATGGTCTTGTAAAAAGTTGATATTTTTACCCCATAAATCTACAAAAAATGAATATAGTTGTAGGAAAATCAAATTTTCTTTAATCTATCCATAGATTCCAATGCTTATTAGCATGAAATGAAATAAAAAACAAAATTATCTGGGATGTCTTGCAGTGAATGCACAAGGTTTTTACTCTACATATTATAAACAATTGAAGTAAATAGAACTAAAACACAGTATAATCTTCAAATGTATGGATACCTATAGCTTTTTATTCTAATTCAAAACAAGTAATTTTCTTCAAATGTATGGATACCTATAGCTTTTTATCCTAGTTTAAAATAATTTATTTTGTTGATCAAATTTCAATAGAAATGATCAAATTTCAATAGAAAATACATAGATGGTGCTTTTATTCGCATTTCCTGAAAACAAACTTGAGATTTGGTAATTTTTTCCTATAGAACATGATTTACTATAATGATGAACTTTGAAGAAATACCATGCATATACAACTTCTTTGTGAAATCAGAGAATTTTCAAATACTAAACAGACAAACCCTTGTCCGACGTATAGGCGAGTTATAAAAATATTGGTATTATAGAGGGTCAATCCATTTAATGTAAGCTTAAAAAATGCAACCGACTTACAGGTGGACCAACTTATAGGTGAGTATATATGGTAACTTAAATAACCCAATACTAACAATAAACAAAGAAATACATTTAATTGTTATGCCCCCATGAAATAGAGTATATATTGTTTTGCACCTGTCTGTATGTTGGTAGATAGACCAAGTATTGTCTGTTCAATATCTTGAGAACCATTAGCTTGACAGACATCAGACTTGGTATACTGGAATCCCTAAAGAGTAGATGACCCTTATTTTTTAGGTCACAAGGTCAAAGATCAAGGATCAATTACTCTTGACATCAGAAGATTTTGTCTGCTCAATATTTTGAGAACCCTTTATATATTGTTAGCAATCTGTTTACTGGTACTCCCTGTAGAGTAGATGACCCCTATTGATTATGAGTTCAAATGGTCAAGGGTCAAATTGGACGCTTGAAGATATTGACTGCTCAAAATTAAAACCGTTTTCAAATAAATGTAAAATAGGAAGTAATAAGCAGAATTAAATTTTGGTCTTAGTCGTAAGTTCTTTTGGTAAACAAGTCCCAGATTTTCCCCTATTGAATAGATGACCTCTCTAAATTTTGAGGTCACAATGTCAATAGTCAAAATATTCTAGACATAGGAAGATATTGTCTTCGATGTTTATGCAGATTATCAAATGAGCAAACTGATTGATCACATCAGAAAGCCAAAAAAGTAAACATTTATTCCTTATAAACAGGGTACTGGGTAACATCATCCATAAAATTGATTCAAATTAGACACATTTATAAAAAATCACAATTACTTTTGCATAGAGTAAGATGCCTTTTCATTAAAATATGACATAGTATTTGAAAATGAATGTGTAAGATATCACAAGAACAGATATTTTACCCTTGGCAAAAGTAGAAATGTGATTTTCATAGTTTTTCTAATATAAAGAAATGCTATCCAGGATTCTAATATGAGTTTATTCTACTTGAACCCACCCCCCTCCCTATAAATGGCCTTCCTGACATAGCAATATAGAGAATTTCTTTCCATTTTTTTTTATGCCCCCGTAATCGAAGATTTTGGGGCTTATATATTTTGTCCTGTCCATCCGTCTGCCTAGCTGTTTGTCTGTTTAGCTTTTTGTCTGCAAAAATTTTAACCTTGCCCATAACTTTTCATTGGGTGGAACTATGGTGTTCATATTTCACATGCGTATTCATTGTGACAAGACCTTTCTTTGGGTTTGACCTTGGAGTTTGACCAACTTTTGCAAAATTTTATCAAAATTTAACCTTGACCATACCTTTTGAACAGTTGGTGCTAGGGCTTTCATACTTCACAGGTGTATTCTTTGTGACAAAACCTTACATTGGATATCAACAATTTTTACCTTTTGACCTTGACTTTGGGTATGACCCACTTTTAAAAAAACTTAAACCTTTTCCATTACTTAATTTTGATTGGTTGGTGATAGGGCTTTCATATGTCACAAGTGTATTCCTTGTGACAAGACCTCCCATTGGATACCAACCACTATGACCTTGACCTCAGAGTTTGACCTACTTTTGAAAAATGTTACCGTTGTCCATAACTTTTGAATGGTTGGTTTCATAAGTGTATTTCTTGTGGCAAGACCTTCCTTTGGGCACCATTAATTTTGACCATTTGACCTTGACCTTGATGTATGACTTACTTTTCAAAAAACTTTAACCTTCTTTAAGCTTTGCCATAACTTTTCTATGTTTGGTGCTAAGGCTTTCATATTTCACAGTTATATTCCCCAAGACAAGACTTTTCTTTGGGAAACAACATTTTTTATCTCCTGACCTTGACCTTGGAGATTTACTTGCATTTGAGAAACTTTAACCTTTGCCATAAGCTGCCATATGGGGGCATCAGTGTTATAGAAACACATCTTTTTTTTTTGGGGGGGGGGGGAGGGGGGATTTTAGAGTGTACTCCCTTTCCTTGTCGAAATAGCTTTTCAGGTTATTTTGCTTTCAGTTTTTCTTTCTTCCTGAGATTCCTTTCAGAAATTCCCCTTTAAAAATTCTAGATTTGCTCCTTTTTTAGCTCACCGCGAGGAAGTTGAGATGAGCTTATGCTATACCCCCAGCATCGGCGTTAAACGTTAGCATCAGCATACCATCTCAGTTAAAGTTTTAGGAGCAAGTCCATTTCCAAGTAACAATAGCCCTATGTGGACCAAACTTGCATGGATGATGCATCTAGGGATGGACACTTAACCACTCTTGCTTCAGATGCTGGATCTGACCTAGATTTTTCAGATGAGTGACCAGGTTAAAGTTTTAGGAGCAGCTCCATATCCAAGTATTATAACTTATAATGTTTAGCCCTACCTGGATCAAACTTGCATGGATGATGCATCTAGGGATGTACACAGCTGAACCAACTGCTTCAGATGCTGGATCTGACCTAGATTTCCCACATGAGTAAATTTTAGCCATACTTTAATCAAATTAACATGGATGCTGCATTCTAGGGATGGACACTGACTTAAATTTTCCAGATGAGTGACCAGGGTGTTTTTGGAGCTTTAAAAGCTATATAATGTATATTATGGCCTGTTATGATTGAACTTAAGCTTGCATATATGGTGCGCATCTAAGGATGAAAACTTCCAGACTTGCTTTGGATGTTGGAACTGACCAAAATTTTAAAATTTGTCATAAATTACAACTGAATTAAGGCATTTCACTCATTATAATGCGAAACTATTTGCTATTTTAAATTTTCATGCCAAGTATTCTATATTAGAGTGGAGGTCACCTAGAGAGATGGGTTGGGTTTGGGGGTAATGGAGAGGGGAATAGGAAAGTATACAAACAACTCCAGACCTCAGATCAGCCTCTTTTTTTCATTGCTGTAATCAGGATCGACCTATATTATACTAGCTTTAAGTCCCTGCTGTAATTTGATTGATAAAACAATCATGAGTCAATATCATCTATAAGCAGTGGCAGTCAGTAGTTAGCAGTTGCAGTCAGCAGTTGGCCGTCTTATATAATATCTGCCAATATGACAATTAAGCATTCAGACTGGAGCACTTTTTTTTTTAAATATTGAAAGAATACAGATATAAATGTAATTTTTTTGTGTTAATCAGAAATAAAATAAAAAAGGGAGAAAAGAAGAAAAAAAAATGAAAATCTTTGAGAATTTTACTTTATTTTTTATGAATAAAAAAACTACCCACTAAAATACCAGAGACATATCTTATATGTCTCTGAAAATACTGATTGTGCACAAATGTATTTTGACATCGGGTTCGGATAATATTAAATTACCCTGTCAGTGCCGAGGTATAATATGTATGCTTTTTTGGATCTCGTAACCAGCCTCTATAACCAGGTAGAGCGCATGCGCGCAATAATTTTCCATCGAGATC